ACGTAACCCCCCGCTGGGCGAAACATCACGGAAACTGGCGGTCCAATAACTTCCCCGCGTGAGTCGATCCAGGAACCAAAACCGGACTACTACTCCAACCGGAGGGGCAGGGCCAGAACCGGGCCGGGCTGATCACGCCCAATGTCAACTTCTTAAGAACGTAGTCGGGAAACCCGTGACCCATCGCATTCTTCTCATCAGCTGACTCTGCGAGCAACCGAGTCTAGCCTGGGGACTCCGCGTAGACGGTGACCGAACTATAGCCAACCACCTATAATTAGCACTCCGACTATTGTATGATCCGAACTAGAATGGCACACTCTCGTAGCAAATGAGGCAATTATTCTTCTTTCGGCCCGCATGACGCGGGATTTTTCCTTCGAGGGGCGCAGAGCCAATCCCAGGCCAGAGCAGCGCCGGCTGTTAGGTAAGGCTGTGGGGCTGGGCCAGACTCTCGTTGTCTCCCGCCTACCGTCGGCCAAAGACCAAGAATAGCATATAAAATCTTCGACTCCCCCGGATTTTGGAGGGAGATCATTCTGATTATTCCCTCAAAAAAGTCCATGGCGACGATCGTGTCTCAGTGAGTCCCTCCATTCCATCCCCTTGCATGGTCTTATCACCCGGCAATTGCCATCCGGACCTGGGATCCGATAAGAGCTCGCCCGCTAATCCTTGGGTCTAGTTGTCTTTGTACTTTCTGTTAGAATTCTCCTTCATTTTCTCCTCTCCTCCCCCGTCTTCTTCTCATCATGGCGTCTCCCGCCCCGTCCTCGAATGCCTCCGAGAACGGCACCACGCTGCCCTCGAGGCCGCAGCCGAAGCTGTTCGCCAGCGGGGACGGCAGCTCTGGCCCGGGCACCCCGATTGGCTTCCAGCGCTATCCGCACAACAAGCATCTCGACCATGTCGTCGGCGCGGCTCTGCGCAATCCCTCCCCCCAGCCCACTCATCTGGGCATCCCCGGCAGCCCGTCGCCCCGCGTGCTGTCGGAGGAGGATCCCGGCTACATCGCGGCCAAATTTGAAGGCAAGCAGAAGCAGATGGAACAGGTCATGGACCAATTGGAGGAAAAGGGCTTCTTCCCCAGTGACTTTGTCATCTCCGAGACCACCTGGTTCTACAACATGCTGGGCATCGACGACACCTACTTCCAGACCGAGTCGGTAGAAAACATTGTCACCCAGATCCTGTCTCTCTATGCCGCCAAGGTCGCCGCCTATGCGCGGGATGACAAGCAGCTCGAGATCCGCCTGGACAAGGAGGCCGAGGACCATGCCGTCTACATCGACACCAGCAAGCCTGGTATCTCCTCCGTGGATGGGCCCCGATACGAGGAGCGTATTGATGCCAAGTACATCAACACCTCCAAGGGGGCCAACAGCTACCGTGTGGAGACCTTCCGCTCACCCACCACGCTGCCGGGTGACAACGAGCAGCAGCTGCGCTGCTACTTCGTGTACAAGTGCCAATACGCCAACCCCAACCCTTCCCCCAACGAGACCAACATCGACATCATTGGTGAGAAGCGATTTCTCCAAAAGGCCACGGAAAACACCAAGGCCATCTACCAGGAGATCATCGCCAATGCCGTCAGCCGGTCCGGTCCCGTCATCGAGATGTTCGAGATCGAGGGCAGCCGGGAGAAGCGCCTGGTGATGGCCTACCGGCAAGGTTCGGCCATGGGTCTATTTAGTGCCCTGTCCGATCTATACCACTACTACCGCCTGACCAGCTCGCGCAAGTACCTGGAGAACTTCTCCAACGGCATCACCGTCATCTCGCTCTACCTCCGGCCATCGGACAAGCCCGAGATTGCGGCCAAGTACCCTCCCATCGAGGCGGCGATCCACCAAATCATGAAGGAAGCCTCGCTCCTGTACTGCATTCCGCAGAACCGTTTCCAACATCACTTTGCCACTGGCCGTCTCAGTCTGCAGGAGACCATCTACGCCCACAGTGCCTGGGTGTTTGTGCAGCAGTTCCTGAACCGCCTGGGTTCGGAGTATACCTCGCTGGCTGCACTGCTGGACACCAACAACAGCGTACACGCAGAACTGCTGTCGAAGATCAAGAAGCGTCTGCGCACCGAGACCTTCACTGCGGACTACATTTTTGAGATCATCAACAAATACCCCGAGCTGATCCACCAGCTCTACCTGGACTTTGCCAGCACCCACTACGTGCAGACCCAGGGTCCCGCCGGGGACGACTTCCTACCCACCCTCAGTTACCTGCGTATCCAGGTGGACGAGGTCATGGATGGCGCGAAGCTCAAGCAGCTGATCCGCAGCACGGCGCACAACGAGCACGACGAGATGGTCATGACCTCGTTCCGCGTGTTCAACTCGTCGATTCTCAAGACCAACTTCTTCACCCCGACCAAGGTGGCCCTCAGCTTCCGCTTGAAGCCGGATTTCTTGCCTGAACACGAATACCCGCAGCCGCTTTACGGCATGTTCCTCGTCATCAGCTCTGAATTCCGTGGCTTTCACCTTCGCTTCCGGGACATTGCTCGTGGAGGCATTCGGATTGTCAAGAGCCGAAACAAGGAGGCCTACAGCATCAATGCCCGGTCACTGTTTGATGAAAATTACAACTTGGCCAACACGCAGCAACGCAAGAACAAAGATATTCCCGAAGGCGGCGCCAAGGGTGTTATCCTCTTGGATGTGGATCACCAGGACAAGGCGCGGGTCGCCTTCGAGAAGTACATCGACAGTATCCTCGATCTGCTGCTGCCCCCCGTCAGCCCCGGCATCAAGGACCCAATTGTCGATCTGCACGGCAAGGACGAGATCCTGTTCATGGGTCCCGACGAGAACACTGCCGAGCTGGTCGACTGGGCCACGGAGCATGCCCGAAACCGCGGTGCCCCCTGGTGGAAGTCCTTCTTCACCGGCAAGAGCCCTAAACTAGGCGGTATCCCGCACGACGCTTACGGCATGACCACGCTCTCGGTGCGTGAGTACGTGCTCGGCATCTACCGCAAGCTGAACATCGACCCCTCTACGATGCGCAAGCTGCAGACCGGTGGTCCGGACGGTGACCTGGGATCTAATGAAATCCTGCTTGCCAACGAGAAGTATTCCGCCATCGTTGATGGCTCTGGTGTGATCGTCGATCCGCAAGGTCTGGACCTTGCGGAACTCGTCCGCCTGGCCAAGAAGCGCGTGATGATCTCCGAGTATGATACGTCGAAGCTGTCGCCCGAAGGTTACCGCGTGCTGGTCGATGAAAAGAACGTCAAGCTGCCCAGCGGCGAGACGGTTCACAACGGCATGATCTTCCGCAACACCTTCCACCTGCGCCACCACGAGCGCTTCGACGTGTTCGTGCCATGCGGTGGTCGCCCCGAGTCCATTGATCTGTCCACTGTGGGCAAGCTGATCCAGGATGGCAAGTGCATCGTTCCTTACATCGTCGAGGGCGCCAACTTGTTCATCACGCAGGACGCCAAGCTGCGCCTAGAAAAGGCCGGCTGCATTCTGTTCAAGGATGCCTCCGCCAACAAGGGTGGCGTGACCTCATCCTCCCTGGAGGTGTTGGCCTCGCTGTCCTTCAACGATCCGGAGTTCGTCGAGCACATGTGCATCCGCGAGGACGGCACCGTGCCCGCCTTCTACGGTGAATACGTCAAGGAGGTCCAGGAGATCATCAAGCAGAACGCCAGACTGGAGTTTGAGGCCATCTGGCGCGAGCACGAGCAGACCGGCGTGCTGCGCAGCGTCCTGAGTGACCGTCTCAGTGTTGCCATCACCAAGCTCGACGAGGAGCTCCAGCAGACCGAGCTGTGGGATAACGTGGCCCTGCGCCGCTCTGTGCTTTCGGATGCCCTGCCCCATCTGCTCCTGGACAAGATCGGCCTTGACACGATCCTCGAGCGCGTCCCGGAGAACTACCTGCGCGCTATCTTCGGTAGCCACCTGGCTAGCCGCTTCGTGTACCAGTATGGCAACCAGCCCAGCCAGTTCTCCTTCTTTGATTTGTGAGTTCCCCTCCTTCTCTTTATGGATAACCTTCACTAATTATCTTTTTAGCATGACCAAGCGCCTGTCGAAGCTGCAGTCATGATCGACTGTCCGTCTTCACTTGTCCGTGTCTCTTTTCCTGCTCATTTTGAAAATTTTGGTTGGTTGGTCCACCACGACCACCGAAAATCCACCCGGCACGACTGATGGTATACCTTTAATCCGGGAAACAATTCCCCCTTGACGAATGTATGGTTTAGAAAAAGTTCTTGAATTGTGTTTTGTTTGGCATGTCTGCATTGGACCCGTCGGGGTTTGTTTATGAAAAAGAGTTCTCTTAGGCACCAAAAATAAATTTGGGGAATTGTTTGACGTAGGGTCATTTTGGCTGTAGCACCACGCGAGGGTGGTTGCATCCATCGGCATTGTGGTAGACTACGGACAGTCTTAGATCCTATCATCGATCCTAATCATCATCCTGTTTTGTAGCTCCTTGGCTTTCAGTCATATACACTTAGCGTCTGTAATTGACTTTCCCCGGCACTCGGCGGAAACTAACGTTCTTAGCGCCTGACAGAGAAGCTTGTTTGCCGTTCGTCACAGCTCTTCCCCGACTTTTGTCCTCAGCGGTTCGACTTGGCCTTTTTGCTCGAGAAGAGCCCCGATGAAAGGGAGGAAATACTATCCATGGATCTGGCCAGGCACGTCTGTTTCTCGCCCGTGTCCCTGAATCCCGGCGCCCGACCAAACTTGGATTGACTAGCGGCGAGCGTGGGTCTAGTCCATGCGGAGGCCGTTTCGGCTTGTCGCGTCTCAAGTGAAAGAAAGAAAAAATACTACTGGTCTGTTCCTCCCCCCGTCCCGTCCATCAATCCTACTTTCTTTTTCATTCTCCTGGACAATGAAGTGTCGCACTTTGTGGGGTACCATCGTCCGTCCCCAGCGCCCGACTGCATAAAAGCGTTCATTATTCCCTGATTTCATTCTGCGTCTTCTTGCATTATTATTTGCCTCGGCGCCTCGGTCACCATGCCTGATCAGTTCCCTGCTGAGAGCCCCGTCTCGAATGGCGCTGGTGACAGCCCCAGCCCCAACCCGGGTACCCTTTGTCGAGACGAACCCGGCGAGAAGCAAAATATTACCACCACCAGCAGATTCGTCCCGGAACGTTGGAGAACCGCGAGTCAAAGGATCCGCCATCGGACGGCTGCGTTGGCCGAGAAGCTGGGTCGACCACATGAGGGAGGGGAGGATGGCTTGGACGGCGGCATCTCGCCGGAATACTACGGCGCGACGGATGATTTGCGGGGGTTCGAGGCTCGCCAGGCCAAAGATGAAGAGAGTAGTTTGCCCGATATGGACCATGACTCTCAGGCCCGGAGGATGGTGCAGCAGCTGGGTCTGCATCCTCCGAAACCCCATGCTCGTCGCAAGGCTCAGGAGCCTCACTCTGGCACGGTGACCCCGGATAGTGGCACCACGACGCCCGGTGGCCCCAATGGAGGCATGCTGTCGCAGTTGCTGCGTATCTATGCGAACAATATGGATGCGAGCCGGCTCAGTGTGGCTTCCGCGGCCTCAGACACGGAGCCTGATGAGCCTGACTCGACTACCCCCAGTCGGCCGGGGTCTGGAAGTGGCACTGGCACCCCAACGGGCAAGAAAGACAAGGTGAAATGGTACGCAAACAAGGACGAAAAGAAATCGAATCACGGCTACGCGGCGTCCCTGATCCATGCCTCCATGGACATGGGCCGGGTTGGTGTGCCGGGTGCACACGGACCCACGGCCCCCATGAGTCCCAAGGAACGGAAGAAAAAGCGCAAGAGCGAGAAGGACGTGAAGTTGACCGTGCACATTGCCGGTCTCCTGGCGCGCCAGCAGTATATCATGCAGCTCTGTCGTGCGCTGATGATGTATGGGGCGCCCACCCATCGACTGGAGGAGTACATGACAATGACCGCCAACGTGCTGGAGGTCAACGCGCAGTTTTTGTATATCCCGGGCTGTATGTTCATGTCCTTCGATGACCCTCTCACTCGCACTGCTGAGGTGAAGATCATCCGCGTTGTCCAGGGGCTGGATCTGTCCTGTCTGGCGGAGACACACAATGTCTACAAAAATGTGGTGCACGACATTGTCGACGCAAAGGAAGGTACCCATCAGCTCGACCTGATCATGCAGCGCCAGCCGCGCTACAGCCCATGGCTCAAGGTTCTTTTTCACGGCCTGGCCAGCGTTGCCGTCGGCCCCTATGCCTTCTCCGCGCGCCCTATCGATCTCCCTATCATCTTCTTCCTGGGCAGTCTTGTCGGGGTCATGCAGCACATCCTCGCGCCGGCTTCGGCCACGTACGCCAACGTGCTGGAAGTCTCTGCCGCCATCCTAACCTCGTACATTGCCCGTGCCTTTGCAAGCATCAAACACGATGGCCAGTGGCTGTTTTGTTTCCCTGCCCTGGCCGAGTCGGCCATTGCCATGATTCTGCCCGGCTTCGCCGTGCTCAGCAGCAGTCTCGAGTTGCAGTCGCACCAGATGATTGCCGGCTCCATCCGCCTGGTCTATACCATCATCTATTCACTGTTCCTCGGCTACGGTGTCACAGTCGGCACGACGATCTATGGGCTGATGGACCCTAACGCCACTACCCAATCGACGTGCCCGGTCGACACCCCGGAAAAATGGGGTAACCAGTATATCCAGCATTTCCCCTTCGTCGCGATGTTCTGTCTCTTTGCCGCCTTGATCAACCAGGCCAAGTTTAAGCAGCTGCCCGTCACGATCCTAATGGGCGTCACCGGATACGTGACCAACTACTTCGTGACCCAGAGGATGGGGTCCAACCAGGTTGCCAACACCGTCGGCGCGTTTACAATTGGTATGCTGGCCAACTTGTACAGTCGCCTGTGGCACGGCCACGCCGCGGCCGCGATCATCCCGGGCATCTTTACGCTCGTGCCGTCTGGCCTCGCATCTTCGGGTTCTATTATCCAGGGCCTGGCTTACGCCGAGGAAGTCGCCAATCGCACGGCAAATTCCACTACCAGCACGATGTCGGGTAGCTCCCTGACTGCGCTGGGCTTTGGTATGATCCAAACGGCTATCGGCATTTCGGTGGGATTGTTCATTGCTGCGTTGATTGTATACCCGCATGGCAAGAAACGCAGTGGAATCTTCAGTTTGTAATTCTGACGACACATCTTGAGCGATGTTTTTGAAGATTGTCATTTAATCATGATTTCCCTTGTTGTTATTGCTGTTCCCTTGCTCGATATTTGAGAGATCTTTTAAGAGAGCGATGCATGATGTGTTGACAGACCATCACTGAGCAATTTATCTGTTCGCACAACACATATAGCTATTCAAGCTTATCTTCATACAAGACTTACACACCAACGAAAGCACTCACGACCATGCGTAGTTTACCGCAGAATGGATTCATTCTGCTGTGTGTTGACAAATATATGTATATCACAATGCTCCCTATACAGAGACAAAAGAAGCAACTATACACAAATAAATAGACCTGTAGAAATACAAATTATAATACAAGATGGACTCTACAACCTGACATCATTCGCAATGCCCTCAAACCGCATCTCCCCTTCCTGTTCAGTACACGGCAACTCCACCAGCCGCGCCCATTGCTCCGGATACTTCTTCCGCGCCCACTCCTCCACCTGGTCCTTCCAGTAATCGAACGGGATGGCATTGTAAAAAAGCCCAATCCTACGAATTGTAAGTAAAACAAAGCCACGAAGAGAGATATACCTGGGTACTTACGTATCGCGCATAGGCACCTGCCCAATCTCCTCCTCCATGCTATCAATGGCCTCGGTCGCCTGATCGAATTCGTACTGCGCCGCCAGAGCCTGGATATACGCATGATACAGCGGCCGGTCGACGGTGATCTCCAGCTTCTTGATCTTATCCATCATCTTCATGGCTTCGTGCGCACCGTTGCGGTGTTTCTCACAGACCTTGAAGAAGCAAACGAGGGTCTTATTGGACGGTCCTTCTTCCGACTGTAGCACCTCCCGGAACATCTCCATGCTTGTCTCCGTTTGGTCGCAGGCAGCATAGGCGAGCATGAGACCGTTCAAGATGCGAGTGGTCATAACGACCTCTAGATCCAGTCTCAGCATGTTGTGGACTAGCTCCAGGTTGCCCTCGTCGCCCGTCTGTGCAATGCCCTGCAAGCAACGTGCGTACGTATCTGGCTTGGGCCGCTGGGAAACATTTTCGGCTTGGCGCATGTGCCCAAATACCAAAACGGCGAGGTCGTTGCGCTTTCGTTTGAACAAACTGGTCATGATCTCGGTTCGCATGCTCACACCCGTCTCGGGGAATGCGACCTTCAGCAATTCATACACATCCCACACATCGGAGTCGCTTTGGCTTGGATCGAGAATAAAGTCGGTAAGCGCGTTCCGAACTTTGGTCTTCTCTTCCGAATCATAAGTGCCCAGTCGCGGACGCAGCAGCTCCGAGACAGCGTCCCAGTCGTGGCGGTAGAGAAGCATCCGCGTTAATGCCGCAAGGGTGTCGGCTTCCAGGCGCACGTTTTCTTGGAACAGCGGGTCTAGAAGAGACGAAATCTGTTGGAACAGGGCATCCTTTTTCTCGGACTGACACAGCATCTTGATGAGCCGGTTGGCAAGCGGGAGGTTCTCCTGCGCCAACGTGCTAGGGTCAATTCGCTCTTGTAAAAACTCAAGCGTCTGCTCGACGTCACCAGACTGAACTCGGGACTCGAATTGCAGCATATGGGTTCGTTCGGTTGGAGTAATACCCCACTTATCCACAAGCTGGGACAACTCGGCCGCCAATTGCGGATTCTCAACGGTATTGGCATATTCAAGAAGATGGTTCAGGGTAGCCGGAGCGATGGCCTTCTTGTAGCGAGGATCTTTTGCAATCAACGAGTCAAGCTTCTCCTTTAGAGCAACGGCACCACTACCGTGTGCTGCCTCCCAAAGCAAGGTGAGGTACACAGTGTCCGGCTTTTGTGGGAGAGACTCCAAGATGGGACTCGCCCATTTGAACTTGGACTTCAGGATCGCATATTTGATGACAGCTTTCATGGTAGAAAGGGAAGGCTCAAGGTTATAGAAGATGGGGCACTCGTAGACGGTCTGAACCGCGTCGAACTGGTCTTGTTCAATGAGCATCTGGATCAGTTCTTCATGAGACGCTTGGTCAAAAGTCATGCCATGCTCTTTCAAGTCATCAATGACTTTCTTCACCTGACGTAAATCATCTTTGATGGCGAACCCCTTCAACACTGCGAGCCACGGCGATGGTCTGACCTTGCGCAAACGGTCCCAAAACTTGACCACCACGGCGCGGGCCTCTTCAGGGTTACCATTTGCGCACAGGAGATTGATGTAGAGAGTCAGAGCCGGGCGACTGATCTCATTGGGACCAAAGCCATGATCGACACAGAGTTCGAGGTAGGCGTAGCGTGCCAAATTCTGGAGGATCGCGCGTGATTCAGGCAGACATTGTGCTTCTGAGAAAACAAAAAGCATCTTCTCGAGGTTCTCAGTGGAGAACACATTCTGCCAGTCTCGCTCCTCCAGCTCACTCTGTAGCCCCTTCAAGTGTTTCCATGTCACGATGAGAAATTTGGCCTGAGAGCCAGTAATCACTCCCGGAGTTTCGACTCGTGTCGCAAAGAATGTCTGGAACGCTTTGGCAAGAACTTCACTGGGAGGAGCTCTGGCCTTGTCTTTGAGCGACTTCAAGAGATCCGCCATTGGCTTCAGGCCTCGCTCTGAGGGCAGCGTCGTCGGTCGCGCCTCCGTAGTGGGTGCCGCGTTGAAGGCAAAGAGATTCCGTCGCGTCACATCCTGAAGGCTTGGTAGGCTCAGACGCACGCGTGCGGGAGGAATCGTATGCAGCAGGCGATGTCGGCGACAGGCGGAAAAGGAGAGTGGTTCATTGTTGATGAGAGCCCTGAAGACTCGACGGGAGAGGTGGGACTGCATGTTGGGCACCTTGAACAGCCCGATCAGGATACAGCTGAGCTGGTACCAGGCCAGGTCAGGACAGGACAGGGTAGGGTGGTTGTGAATTCAGCAAGTTGTCGTTGCGATGTTTGGCGGAAAAGGAAAAACTGGCAGAAAAAAAGCGAACGGAGCTAATCGACATCCTTCCTCCTGACAACCCCCGAACCATCCGTCCGATCGAACACCATGTCGCTCAATATCTTCACATCCTCATTCCTGCGCACAGCGCCGGGGCTCTCGAGCTGTCGCTGGAGTTCGACAAGTGCCTTGCACCAGCGACTGGGGCTAGGCCAGAGGCAATCGCCGAGTACGTGTCTACCTTCCTAACTGACTATTCGGCTGGACTCGGACTGACGCAGTGTCATAGAGCCGAAAGTGCAGCACTCTCGACGGCTGCCAAGTCGCCAGAAGATCATTGCGGAGCAAAAAGCCCAAGGCGAGAGCAGAGCCCTGGAGAGATTCCACACGCGCGACTGGAAGGCCGGAGACGTCTATGCCCCCCACGACCTCAGTCCACAGGAAATGAAGAAGTGGTCGAAACGGCACAGCCCGTCGAAGGATGCTTTTGATGCATTGAATCTGAATCCATTGGATCTTTACAAGGTATGCTATGCATCGTTGGGGGTGGATCGAAAGGAACCGCTGCTAACACAGTTGTTTGTGTAAACAGAACTTCTCCATCATGTCCGAATACATCTCACCATTGGGCCGCATCAAGCACCGCAGCGAGACGGGACTGCGGCCAGTCAACCAGCGCAAGATTGCCAAGGCGATCCGGAGAGCGAGAGGTCTGGGGCTTATGCCCAGCGTGCACAAGCACCCGGAGATCCTAGCGAGCGATTCGCGGAGTCGGGGTGGCGCTGATAGTTTTTGACCTGTTGATGTATTATTATTTATTTATCCCTGTCAGCATCTTTCTCCAACTGTACAATTTATTTTCCTATATGTCGTCACTTGTAGACTGTTGCCTCGCCCCGCCTTGGGGATCAACAACACCGCCTTGTTTCTCCCCTCGTCTTCGTCTTTTGCTTTCTTCCCTCCCCAGCTCTGTGCAACACCACCATGTCAGTCACCAACGGCATGTCTTGAATCACCCAGGCCCCCACTAGTACCTAGCTAACTCTCCCCTAGAATCCATCTGGGCCGCCAGCCCCTCCACAACCCGCGGACAGCCCACCCAGCTGTCGTCGGACGCCAAAGGCGAACGACTGGCCTACGCAGTACGTCTTATGGCCCTCCATCAAGCTTACCATTGCAATGTCTATGACAATCGGTGCTAACATCCCTTTGTGCAGGCCAACAAATCTATCTTCCTGCGCTCGATCGACGACCCCGCCGTTGCCAAGCAGTATACCGAACACAAGGTCCAGACCACCGTTGCCCGCTTCTCGCCCTCCGGGTTCTATGTCGCCAGCGGTGATGCCGCGGGTCTCGTGAGAGTGTGGGATTGCGTCGGTGACGGGATCCTCAAGGGCGAATACAGCATTATTAACGGCCGCATCAACGATCTGGCCTGGGATGGTGACTCCCAGCGCATCATCGCCGTGGGTGATGGCAAGCAGCGGTATGGGCACTGCATCACCTGGGACAGTGGCAACACAGTTGGAGAGATCTACGGCCACACCCAACAGATCAATTCCGTGGCGATCAGGCAGCAGCGCCCTCTGCGCGCAGCGACTGCGGGCGACGACAAGAAGCTGGTCTTCTACCACGGCGCACCGTTCAAGTTCAACATGGGAATTGGTGATAAGCATTCCAACTATATCTACGGTGTGGGTTTCAGCCCGGATGGTTCGACCTTGGCCAGCGTGGGCGCGGACCGGAAGATCTGGCTCTACGACGGGAAGACGGGGGAGACCAAAGGTCAAATTGGCGAGGGGGAACACACAGGCAGTATATTCGGTCTGTCCTGGTCCAAGGACTCGAAGAAATTTGTGACTGCCAGCGCCGATCGAACGGTCAAGATCTGGGATGTTGAGGCCGGCAAGGCCGCCCAGAGCTGGACCCTGGGCGAGGAGGGTGCCATGGCTGTCCGAGACCAGCAGGTGGGCGTGGTTTGGCCTCCGGGTAGGAGTGATAACCTGCTCATCAGTTTGTCCCTCAGCGGAGACCTGAACTACTTGGTCGAGGGAACTCCTAAACCTAGACAAGTCATCCAAGGTCACCAAAAGAACATCACCTCCTTGACCCAGTCCGTGACCGGCGACAAGGAGACCCTGTGGACAGGCAGCTTTGAGGGGCGGGTCTGTAGCTGGGATGTTGCTTCTGGAACTGCCGAGGAGATTGAGGGTGATAGTCACTCGGGGTACATCGCTGGGCTGGCACCAACTTCGGAAGGCGCAGGTCGGATTTACAGTGTCGGCTGGGACGATACGATCCGCTCCGTTGACGTCGCCGCGAAGACATACACCGGCAGCACGACGAAGCTCACGGGACAGCCCAAGGGCATCGCGGCCGGCGACTCGACAGTGCTGGTTGGTGCTGCCGAAGCAGTCGAGATCTTCAACGACGGCAAGAAGACGGGAGAGTACAAGACCAAGTTCGCCGTCACCACTGTGGCCGCGCATGGTGCCATCGCGGCCGTTGGCGGCGAGGATGGCTCCGTGGAGATTTGTGATGTGTCCAGCTCTAGCTTGTCATCGCGCGCCTTGATCAAGGCCTCGCGCAACCAAATCTCAACCATCTCCTTCTCCCCTGATGCCTCGCTGCTGGCTATCGGCGACCTGCGGGGACGTGTGCTGGTGCACAAGGTGGCCGACGGCAGTCTGGTCACGGATCGGTGGACGGCGCATAATGCTCGCATCACGTCGCTGGCTTGGAACAAGGCCGGCTCCCATGTAGTCAGTGGGTCGTTAGATACCAATATCTTTGTCTGGAGCCTGGCCAACCCCGGCGACTGGTTAGAGGTCAAGAACGCACACAAGGAGGGTGTCAATGGCGTTACATGGATCGAGGGCAGCACTAAGATCGCGTCGGCGGGCGCGGATGCTGCGGTGAAGGTGTGGAAGGTGGAGGGTTTGAAATGAGTGAGTTAGTTATATCGAGTATGAAGGAGTAGTACATCGCAATAGATATCTTAGCGTAGCGTCTCAATCCCGCCTCCCAGAGAGAGAGAGCATTAACCAAAGACCTGGCTATATAACAAGAAACCCTAATCGAAAACGCCTTTGGATATCAAGTTTCCGTGTTGGATGGGCGAAGTATCACTACAACTCCACCCTCAGCTAGGCCCTACAGGATGAAAGAACTCGATAAACTAAATCGAATGTATTTCAAGGGTATCGAACCAGTTCAGCCACCCTTACCGCTTATCCTTTTTTTTAAAACGTTTGCGAGGTCATCTTGTTCCCAAAAGAAAGTTATACTATACACCGCTCTGCGGGGCTATATTGGCCAGGGGAAAACAAAGAAAAAAGAACATAAAGATAGAGACAACAAGAGACATATCTTCACAGAGAAACTCCAGACCCAAATGCAAAAATGTGCTGTCAATGTTGTGACAGCCCCTTTGGTAGTTCCCAGACGCCATCCCTCTCCCATCCAGACCAAGAGTATAACATAAAAAGGGCGGCAGTTAAAGAGGTTGCCCGCTAAAAGAGAAGCATGTTTGCAACAGAGCAGATCTAGCCCTCATGCAGCCATGGATAAACATTCGTCGAGGAGAGAGCTCAACTGCTCCCGGTCAGCAGCAGCGCCTCCCTCCCAGTCAGACAAGTCGTCCTCCTCCTCGTCGATATCCATTGCGTCAACTGGGGGCTTGACCTCGTCATGAGGCTCAACACCGTTCTCCAGACGATCTGGAGTTTCGTACTCGTCGTCGAGATAACCGCCCATGATCTGGTCCATGATCAGAGGCATGTGGCCGAGGACACTGCTGCCGAGCTCGAGTGCCAATCGAAGGTCTCTAACTCCTAATGGTCTCCGAGTGCTGGCCTCTTTGGCTTCAATCGGAAGAAGACCGGTTGCGCCATCCTTGCTGATTTCACCGCGGGTGTAGGCAAGCTCTTCAAGTTCGAGTTGTTGCCGGTATTTCCGCATCATCATGCCGTTGATAGTACCCGACGGACCATTCGACCGAGTGCGCGAGAAGACAGCGGACAGGACTTCTTTGACGAAGGTTTCCGTCGCAATTGCCATGAATTCTGCGCACGGAAGTCCCGCACCACTGGGAAGGGATTCTTCGTAGCAAATGGGGACCATGCGCGCGTGAATCGATTCTGCATCGGGGAACTCGCCCGTTTCGGCGCCAAGGGGTTGTGCGTAACGTTTCCGAATCTCTAGTTCCCAGTCTGGATGTTTTCAATATTGTTAGGTTCTCCTTGGATCTTTCTAAGGGGGGAAAGGAATTCATGGCTGGGTTCGCCGAGAGGGCCGTGACGTCTTACTTGTCTTGTTCAAACCACCTGCACTTGCGGGAACTTGACTAGGCAATTTGATCTGCTTCGCCTGGTAATATTCCTCCAGTTCGTTAGGCGTCGCTTCGTTGGGGTCGCGCTGGAGGATAGGCAAGACATGATTAGCATTTTCGTCTCATATTCATCACACTATATCGGGTCTTATGGCCGCATACCTCTGCGACGCCTTTGATGCGCCGACGATCCCTCGGAGGCAGTTGCATAACCTCCGTCTTCAATCTCTGTTCTGCGGCATCTCCCGAGATGGGTTTGGAGACCACCGAGGGCTTATCGTTCGCGGATACCCAGCTCGCCACGCCATGGTCGGGGAGGTCTCGCGTGAGGTTCCCGATAAGCGCGCAGACGAAATTATTATGGAGGTGCTCGGTTTTCGTATCGGCGCAAATGATGTAGTCGACTCGCGCCGAGAACTCGTTTTGGTTCAAATGTCCTAAAGCGGGCAAGAAGTCAGGAGGTTAGCACGCGATACATCTCAACAGCCTTAGATTCAAGGCAATGGCCCTTGGATCAAGTCGCAACGAAATATATGCTATGCAGTATCCTCGTACCTAGTAAGAAGAGAGCGGTGGCCTCCTTGTACTCGGCCCACTTGCCCCCGACAGCGGCTTTGAGGTCCGTGTAGGCATGTTCCAGGTCCAGTCGCGGCACGGAGATCAGGGCTCTGGAGGATTTCTGTGTCGCTGCAGCACTGGTCGCGGTGCTTTTGGAAGCGGCCCCTGAGTTGGACGCAGCGTCTGTCCGACTCAGGGCCGCCGGGTCGATCTGCATGATGGCGGGAATCGCAGGAGCGCGACGGACGAAGCCGAAGGGCGCGGGAGGGAAGGGGAGGCACCTAGGCCTTCATGAAGGGAGGGAGAGTCCACTAGACCAGACGAGAAGATGGAAGAAGAGGACACATGGATGAATTTAGATGGAATTTTGGGCAATGGGGGGAAGATGGATGGAAGAAGACTGACGACGATGGATGGGCGGTGGAAGGGAGCCCAGGAGCCCGTCCCCACTATGGAGTTCATTCACTAGCTATAGTATTTACTGTAGTTATTCACTTCTACGCCAGCGCCACCACATCTTCGTTCAACACCCCGAATAACTGCCCAATTACGCCGATGATAGCCATGATCTCGCTGGACAATTGACCAGTCACCAAAACTGCACCCCCAAGTCAGCGACAGCAAAATCTCCCATCGGGTTAGGGCTACCCACTATATGCATAGAGGAGAGCGCAATCCTCATCCGTGGTCTTTTGAGACACTTCCTGATCCTGCCGGTAGCGATAGATGCGAGCAAGCAGCCGGTCGCGCGCATGGTCGATGCTGGGGAGCACCTCGTTCAGCGGATACTCGAGTTTCATCGACGAAGCCATGACTAATTCAGTTAGAACTCGCTAACCCTAAGGATCAACCACATAAAACCGACCGGAGAGAAGATGACTGATGCGGGCAGAGAGCTGCTGCCGTTCAGCCGCTGTATAGCGAAGCAAGTTGATCTCGCCTTCGGTGGCAGTGACGTTCTTGACAAGCTCCAGGTTCATCGCAAGGAACGCATTCACCATGCTCCGGGTGCGACGGATGATATTGCCATATTCTGCGTCCGGAAAAACACTCCTCAGCTCGAATTCGGAGCGCGCAGAGGCCTGCAGGGACTCTAGCTTGGCCAGAAATCGCTCGATCTCCAGCTTCTCCCGAGGGCTCATGTATCCGACAGTGGTGCTGCCTTGGACCATCGATGACAGCGGATCCCGCTTCCAGATGAGACTCAGATGCAGCCAAAGGAGGCTGAGATTGCCTTTCAATTTGGTGCGTGCACTAAGAGGCCAGATGACTCGGGTGATAATGATGCCCCAAATGCAGCCAGACAGGACAGCCACCACCCGATGCAACACGATCTCCGTGATGACTGGGTGTGCCCCCCTTCGTCCTCATCGTCTTCGGCATCATTCTGCGTCAATGAATAGGCGTACAGCACGGATAGGTTGTAAGTGAGCATGATAAACCGTCCCATAGGCCCATTACCCTTGACTATGGTGAGATACGCGGGCCAGAGCGCCATCAGCCACCCCAGAAACGCGAGACCAAAGACATTGCCGGCCGTCAGATACCAGGCCACCACGGCACAGAACGCTCCGAGTATTGTTCCCAAAAACCGTGCATATCCGGTAGTGTTGGAGGCACCGATTGTCATGGAACATACCAACATGTATGACAACAGGCCCCACTCTCCCCTCCAGTGCTGGTAGAAAGGTCGGGTGGAGGGAAGAAATGATGGCAATGCATATAAAGCGGCCCCAGTGCCCACCTTGATGGCGTATTTAGTGTCATCCCGACGAAATAATTCCAGGGATTTCCAGACGCGGTAACCGAGTCTTCGCTTTGCGTATGCTATGACAGATGGATCTCTGTGAATAGTTCGATTGACCGTTGGGCGAATTTCATCGATTCCAAGACCGGCGGAAGATGAGTCTGAGACTCGATCAGTACCAATACCCACCGGATATCTTCCGGCGTATACGTACCCATAGGGAAGTTTCCAATTGCATCCGTTTCTTTTCTCTTTGACCACGTCCAAAATTTCAACCAGTTCCAGGATCTCCCATTGGGTCGCTCTTCGACTTCCAGTTGCAATTCATCTAGAATCAACAGCAGGTCGTGTAGCTGCTCTCCAAACTCCAGTAGCGAGAAACTGAAGTGAGCGCAGCTGGCCGATACTTCCTCCAAATCGGCGGCGGCGTCATGGCTCTGCAGATTCATGACTTCTTTTTGCTGATACAGCACTGTAAGCGTCTTCTCCCGCGATTCTCGGTAAAGATGGAGAGCGCGACTGAGGCTTGTCTGGAGCCGACTATCGACGGAAACCTTGTAGTCCGGTGCCAGACCGAAGGGGATTTCATTAAATATTTCCTTGAGGGTAAAAGCCAGTGATCGCTGTATACCGGTCAGTTTCGATGTGCGAGGCCGGGATGGTCGCAGTTGTCCTTACCATAGAAGGGCCCAAATGGCCAATAAAAATGGTGAACACCTCTGCTGGAAGAAGAGTAGCGGGTATAGGGCTGTTTCTAAGGCTTCCATTTGGTGACAGGTCTTCCTCTGGCCGTTCCTCGATGGGCTCTAGAAAAGACCCTTCGGCAAAGGACCATGACCGCTCCAGAGGCGAAAACAGGCGGATGCTAGACGATGTCTGTTGGTCATCCAGCCCGTACTCGCGCGCGATTGTCTCTTTGATCAGACTGAACTGCAGTTCAGCGGCGCTCCGCAATCCGCCCATGTTATGAGTGATGTCTTGCACCCAGCGCACGAGCTTTTTCTCCAATCGATACTCCTTCTCAGTGCCTGCCACATAGTGCTCCAGCTTAGCCTCTCGGACCAGCTTATCCAGCTGGCCGTAGGCCTTTCTATGATTCGTGTCCGCGTCCCTGAACTCGGTCGACTTCATTTCTACCTCAGACCCGCTGAGAAAGCCCTCGGTGATCGTGCCCAGCATCACGGCGAGCGTGTCCGTTACCGTGGTCAGATTTGCACGGAGCTTTTTGCGCGCCGAGATGGGGAAAACCACAAAAGAGACGGTCATGGCGACTATGACGCCCATCAAGACCATCTTCAAGACCTGGGAGATCTTGGCGAACGACAAGTCGCCACTCTGCACGGCGTCCTCCTTGGTCAGGACCGTGATGGTCGACAATGAGGCGAGGGAACATGCCACATTGACGAGGGGATCGCCCAGGCGCTGTTTGGTCCATCCCACGAGGCCCAGTCCGCCGCCGCAGAACACGATGAGGACCAAACCATGACCGAGGGCCGGTAGGTGCAGGGAGTCCTGGAAGAAGACCTCGACCACCATGCTGGTAATGGAAAGAAATGCGGAATAGCAAAAGGCCAGCAGCGCACAGACCAGCGCCTTGTACATGCTTCCCTGGGACCTGGCCGGGTGGAAGTAGACGGTGACCGTGGCCACCATGTGCTTGCCATCCTGATGGCCTAGAAACGCGGAGATCGGAGGGATGAAGGTCGCGAGAGAGCCGAGGAAATAGGCCAGACTGCACTTGACGACTCCGATGCCCGGCTCGGAGGTGAGGAACTGATGCGCCTGCGTCCACACGCCTCGCGACCAGCTCGAGATTACGGATTGATGATTGATTTGGCCGGACAGCAGCCCGCGCCGTTCGTCATGATCCGTCGTTGAGTCTGGTCGCTGCCTGGGGTTGCGCAGGCTCACGAGTCCCTTTAAGCGCTGGCCCGTTCGCGGGAGGACAAAAGTGGCCTGCCGCAGCTGCCAAAGAAGGTTGGTTAGTCGGTCGGGATGACCCGGATTTGCACACCCACCTTGGGGCGCGAGATGCTTCCCGAGGGCATCGTGGCGAGATATCTAGGCTGGTCGCATGGTCGCCCGAGTCGTTGTTCCCGGTTTGTTTTGGGCAGCGAGATAAATCAGTCCAGACCGCCATGGCCATCCCTGCACAGACACCAAAGATTCATGACGTTTACTACTACGTCGGTATCGATAGATCGGTCGATTAGAGAAAGGGATCAATTCACTTTCGACCCCAAGCCAACAGCAGTACGAAACTAGGGATAGGACGACGGAGAGAACATGAAGCTACTGGCTATGAGACATGGAGCTGCCTGTCACTTTGCATGACGTTATAGTCTCCGTCAAAACGAGAAACACTCGTTAGGACAGGAGTAGAAAGCCAAGCGCTATACACACGGATAACCCGTGAATGGGATTTGGTTTCCATTATGTCCATCATCGGGTGTAAACGGCTGGTGGCCTAGAAAAACGCCGGCTAAGAATACATCCAAAAGACGACCAACTAGTTGACGGTCTCCGCAACGAGCTTCAGGACATCTTCGGTCGACTGGTGCGCATGAGCCGGGTCTTTGGCAACCGACTGCCAGACCTCGCCATGCTTCGGCTCCGTCGACATGCACTTCGAGATGACATCGGATCGTTTTTCCTGCAAATGTATTAGCTTCGGATGACTGCAGGAGGAGTAGAGCAGGCCACCAACCTCAGTCCCGTGCTGCATCAAGAATTTATAGTACCAGGCCCAGCCATCACCGTAGTCACTGTCAGCCACAATGGCTTTCTCAAACCAAGTCATCGCCTTTTCCAGACGGCGTTCGCCCCAGAAGATGCGCGCGACGGTGATGAAGAGGATCGGGTCGTTGTCAACCTTCTTGATCGCCTCTAGGCTGCGCGCCTTACGCTGCGCGCGCGGCTCGAGGTGCCAGATGCTCTCGCTCCAGAGCAAGCCAGATGTTGGGACTTCTTGTAACGCCCTGGCCATGAGCACCTTGGCCTGCGCGAGGTTGTTGGCACGGCGCTCAACCCGCACACTTTCAGTCCAGAGCTCGGCGCTTTTGGGAACAGCCAATCGAGCTCGATCCAGGACGGAGCGTGCTCGGACCACGGCACCGGCTTTTTCTTCTAGTCGTGCGGCGAGGAGCCAGAGTGCAACAGACTTGGAGCAGGCGCGAGTGCCGGTACCGTATGCCTCGCGTGCTTGAGGGAACTTGTTTTGGGCTTCGTATATTTGGCCCTTCATCATCCAGAGCTTGTCAGCTTTGGGATAGAGCTGCAGCCCCTGGTTGGCGAGGTCCAGCGCCTCGTCGGTATTACCCAGTTGCCGCTCAAACGCAACACTCTTGATCCATACACGGTCGGTGCCAGCCTCGCGGCGAGCCGTGGCAAGAAGCTCCCTGGCTTGGTCCGTCTGATTGGCGTCGGCTTCCAGCTTGACGGCGGCAAGCCAGATATCTTCGTTGTTGGGATTCTGGTTGAAGGCACGGCCGAGAACGCGCCGAGCGTCATCGACCTCTCCGGCCTGCCACTTCTCTTTGGCCAGCTGCAGCCAGATCTCCTCACTCTGGGGACAGGCCTCAACAGCCTTCTCAAGTACTTGCCACAGGGCCTCTTTGCTTCCGTGATGGCGTTCCAAATCCGCTGCGGCGAGCCAGATTGACCGGCGGTTAACGAATACCCGCAGCGCGTAGGCGTAGATGGCCCGCGCCGTTTCGTATTTCCCACGGGCAATACTCGACTTGGCATCATCCATCCAGACATCTTTCCGGTCGTCATCCTCGTCTAGACCCCATCCGAGCGTCTCACGAATAATGGCGCCGCAGGTAAGAATAGCGCCTTCTTCTTCGCACCGCTCGGCCTCGGCAATCCACTCCTCTCTCTTCAGCATGGCATTCTCTCGGACAAGAGACTGTACTGCACGCCTCATGACATTGACCCTTTCAAAAGTGCCCATCTGCTCCTGAAGACGAGCGGCAGCAATCCAAATCTCGTGGCTTGCTGGGACCGCCTTGCGCGCAGCGTTCAAGACTTTTTGCGCATTTTCTGGGGTTTCAAGGCGTGCAAGGGCCAACCAAAGCTCCACGGAGAGAGGAATCATCTCGACAGCCTTGGCCAGAAGCAGCCGCGCGTCAGCTGGGTCCTCTTCCAAGTTGACGGCCTCTTTCCAAATCTGCACTGATTGGGGAATATGCAGAATGGCTTGTCGCAGAACATTCTTTTTGGCTCGAGTATCAGTCTCCAATTTCATTGCCTCCGTCCAAAGTCTCGTAGAGCGGTCATTGTTCTTGATGGCATTTGCCGCAATGACCTTGGCATTATGACCTTCATTGACACGGATGTTTTCCAACCATGCATCTTCACTCTTCGGACAGAGCTCACAGCCCTTGGCTATAATGTTTCGGGCCGTCACAATCCGGCCAGCCAGCTCCTCGAGACGGGCGAGAGCAATCCAGCCCGGTGCATGTTTGGGGTTCGTTTTTGTGACGGATTCCAGGAGGACTCGAACTCGCTTAATATCACCCACTTCGACCTCACCAGCCTTGAGCTCCGATTGGGTCAGGCTGGTCAGATAGCCCTTGGGGTCGATGTTGGTCGCGCTTCCGGACGCGGTGTCGGCGGACGAACCCAGCGCAGCCTGGTCCAGCCTGACTTTCAATACCTTATCACGCGCCGCACCGATATCTGCAAAGTTCGTCATGCTGCCATCCCCCTCTGGGGCTTCGGTTTGGGTGCCATCTTCTGCGATCGTCGTGTCGAACTGGGCCGAATCGCGGGCGCCGGCAATGACGCTATCGGGAACCGCATAGAAGCGCTGCCGTAGGTTCTGCTTCTGACGTCGGTTTTTGCCCGTGAGATCACCGACCTCGGGCAGGTTGGCCCAGTCTTCTTCGGATACTGCGGCGAGAGTCCGCTTCACATCGGCAAACTGTTGCTGGATCTTGGGGTTCTGTCTTTCGTATTCTTCGCGTTCTTGTTGCTCTCGGATTTCCCTATAGGTGGCGAACGGTTCCAGTCGGTACTCTGTCCAAACAACGGGGGGTGGCCCATGAACAAATTGTTTTGACCGCAATGGGGGAGTTACTAACCTGCGTGCTTTCCGCCGCCTGTCCATCTTCTCATCTACCTCTCGGTAGACGCGATCCGCCTCGTCGTCCTCTTGGTCGAACTGTCCGTACGCGAACAGCCCAGTCTCGTTGTCGGGGTCCTGGAACCGCTCATCTTCCTCCTCTTTCTCCTCTTCCTTCCCTCCTTTCTCACGACTGCCGCCGTACGCTGTTGGTTCGGGGGCTCCCAGGGTCCGTGCTCTCTGTTGCAGCGCAGCCTGGATCTGTTCGGGCGTAGGACCTTCGCGCGCCGGACCCAGGTCGGAGCGGGTGGTGAAGCCCGTGGCACCACGACCCAGACCGGCGACGTAGTTCTCTGGCGCATGTTGACTCAGGAAATCCTTGCGCCCGGACGCCATGGTGATTGCAGTAGTTTAAGTAGTTCGTTCGCAGTGGCCGCAGGAAGAGAACCGGGCCCGCAGAAAAGTAAGACCGACACCGCTTATCTTATCGCCACAAAAAAAAGCAGCTCTTTCTTCCATCGATCTGTAAATTCATCCCACAATCATCCCAATAATAATGCCCAAGACCAAACACAAGAAGCGCAACAGCGCTTCACCCGCCAATCCCTATGCGGACGCGGCGGCTAAAACTCAGGCTGCTCACAGCATCTTCAAGATGAACACAGACATCGGCCAGCACGTTCTGAAGAACCCTGGCATCGCCGAACAGATCGTCAACAAGGCCGACCTCAAGCAGAGCGATGTAAGCGTACTTTACTTTCTCTTAAGGGAAGACAGGGCTAATCCAGTTGGGTCCAGATCGTTCTCGAAATCGGTCCCGGAACGGGCAACCTGACAGCCAAAATCCTCGAGCAGGCGAAGAAATGCATTGCTGTCGAGTTGGACCCTCGAATGGCGGCCGAAGTGACCAAGCGCTTCCAGTCGACTCCTGCACAGAAGCGTCTGGAGGTCATTTTGGGCGATGTGATGAAGACTGAGCTGCCGTATTTCGATGTCTGCATTAGCAACACGCCCTATCAGATCTCCTCCCCTCTGACCTTCAAGTTACTGGCTACATCCCCGGCGCCTCGTGTCTGCATTCTGATGTTGGCCTCCCCATAATTACATGCTTCATTTCTTGGAAACTAACAATACCTGGTTCCAGGTTTCAACGAGAATTTGCGCTGCGTCTCTTTGCCAAACCTGGTGATAAACTATACAGTCGACTCTCCGTCAATGCCCAAATGTGGGCCAAGATCGATCACATCATGAAGGTCGGCAAAAACAACTTCAAACCTCCACCCATGGTCGAGTCCAGCGTGATCCGCATGGTCCCTAAGAATCCGCGGCCACAGATCAACTACGAGGAGTGGGATGGCCTGTTGCGGATTGCATTCGTCCGCAAGAACAAGACCCTGCGGGCCAGTTTTATCGGCACAGCCAGCATCATGAACATGTTGGAAGCGAACTACCGCACTTGGTGTGCACAGAACGACATTCCCGTCGAAGATGGGCCTGCGGATGCAGATGGCGATGCAATGGATATGGGCAACGAGCCGGAAGAGATGGAGACCGAGGAGGCCATGGAGGTGGACGAAGACGATGATGTGCCCGATTTCTTCAAAGAGGAGACCAACGCCCGCCTTCAAGCCGCTCTCAAGAACCAGCCGGCGCGCAAGAAGCGTGGCAAGGTTGCGGAATTGGTGCGTGAAAAGGTCCGTCAGGTCTTGGAGGACGAAACAGGTCTGGCCGACAAGCGCGCGCGGATGTGTGATGAGAATGAGTTCTTAAAGATGCTGTGGGCCTTCAACCAGAAAGGGATCCATTTCAACTGAGGACCAAATCAACACCAGGGCCCTGTCCGGCATGCCTGAAAGGAGGCCGAAGGTGGCCCGTCATGAATTATGATTACTATCAATAAAAGATACCATTTTCCGGTGGCTCGCCCGCAGACCGAAGATGAGCGCGCGAGTCCTGGAAAAGGCTCTGCCAGATGAACGCTTCGCTCAGCAAGAGTTCAATGTCTTTCTCTGTCCAATCCTTCGTAGGCAATGCTTGCAGGAACATCATGACTTCCTACAAGATGGATCAGCTGGAGGTCGTAATTGAGCAAGGGGGCATGTACCTGAAAATCCATCTTCACTAATTGATCGGTCCACTTGACCAAAAACGCAGCACAGACGTAGAGATGAAAGCGTGAGAAGCCCTGCTCCTCGGCCTGGATAGATGGTCAGTCTCAATAAGCCAACTCCAGAAAAGACAGTCAAACCATATACGTGTCCCACATGCGAATTGTGTTCTTGATGCTCATTTCCCGCATGAGCAAGCAGTTCATCCATCGGAAACTGAATTGCATAAATTCGACCCCTTCTTTTTCCAGGTGCTTCGCAAGGGTGGAGTCAATACGCATCGTCAAATCGCGCAAGGCCCGGACCTGGCGGTGGATTCCCGGCTGGGCGTAGATATAGTTGTCCTGGATGCCATCCAGGAGCTTCGTGAGACACCAGAAAGTGTCCGCCTCCACTGCATCCAATACACTTTTCGGTAGCTGGCCTGGGTCCATCCCTTCTTCGACATTCAAATCAGTGATGTACACACCCAGGAACACTTGCCAAAATGGTGTCACCAGGTCGTTGATGCCTTGCACATAGCCACTCGCGGGGTGTCGAATAGCCCACACGTAAAGGATTCGCTCCAAGGACCGCTGCGTGGCTTCGTAGCCGTAGAGAGGAAGATGAGGGCTTGTGCGCGGAACATCGATACTAATCTGGTGCCAAATGGCTTCATCCAGCCCTCTACCACGCCCAGTGTTCGATGATGCAGGAGGATTACTTGAGCTCGCTCCGCTGCCTCGTTCAAAGGCTTGCCGGACTCCGTCCAGGTACTCCTTGCGTTTTCGCTCCAGAGTGGATATGCGTCTTTCGCTGTTCGTGGGTAGATATCCCAGCAAAAGCTGCCATGTCATTGGTCGGACTTCCTCTGGGACTCCAGACCAAGCCAGGTCTCGTAGTTCGCTTAGAGACACGGTACTAGCTTGCAGGATGCGTTTGAATTTATTGATCCGCGAAATGCGACTTGAATGTATCTCCCTTTCTTTAGCGGAAGCGTTTGTAGGTGGTGGGAAGTGGTTGATCAGGTTCAGGGCGTTTGCAGGGTCTGAATTCTATGTTAGAACAGTTCTTTGCGTTCACCTTCAGATCCCACCTTGTAAAATGTCTTTGAACTGCGGCCGCAGAATCTTTCCTTCGCCCATGCGGGCTGTGGGATACATCGCAGCACTCCGTTCCTCGGCGATATCGGAGCTATTCGCCCGTGGTCTCTTGCTGGTCCCTACCCCGAATCCAAAGTTTGATGAATATCCTCCAATTCCGCCGCCCGGGTCGATATTCTTGGGTTTCAGGGGGTTCGCCTTCTTCCTCCTCATGCTGGCAAGACTGGGTAGTCCAAACTCATCTTCATCGTCATCGTAGACAATCTCATCATCCTCCTCGTCATCGTCGCCCTCCTGGGAGGGGTCCCGACTCCGCTCATCGACACCGTCAGGCATGATTCCGGCGTATGGCTCGCGGGGAGGTGAAGCAACCGATGTTCCAGATCGGCTTGTCAGGTGCGATGCGACGTGCGGAGCATTCGCTGATGGCGGTGTTCTCGGTCGTGCGTGGGGAGATACCCCTCTATACCAGGAAGGAAACACTTGTCAGTTGGCGCTTTCCCCAAGGACCCAATTGAAGCAAGCTTCTCGAGGCAGAGAGGGAACAGACTGTAGGATATTTGCGTGCGAGTATGAAGCGCCCACCACGGTGTTTTGACCATAGATCTTCGAGGAGCCTGGGTTCATGGATGTGGTCCTGCCGGGCCAGAAGGGAGACTCTGCGCGTCTTTTGAAAGAAACACATCAGCATTCCCATCAGTCAGAGATCCAGGGGTTTGAGCTTACTCGGAACTGTCTGTCGAGCGGGAACGTTTCAAAACATGAGCTATGTCATAATCCTGGAGGGGGGGCGGGATCAGATGCAAGGGGACGCGGTACGAACCAACCTGGACCATCTCCTGGCGCCAGGGTCAGCGGCGAGGTGATGGAAATAGAATCGGAAACACGTACCTGCGCCTTCTTGCTAGCCATAGCGGACGGTGGCTGATCTCATCGGCTCGTCGATGGCCAGAGCCTACACCGGCCAGGCGTGCCGGAGGGGGAAGCGGATGGCGTGGTGGAATTGAAAAGAGAGAGATCAGATCATGCCATCAATGCAGACATACAATAAGAGCCAAAGGGGGACAAAGAGAGAGAATGTATGTGTGTGTACAGTAGGTAGTAAAGAACGGGAAGCAAGTAGTTCCAAACGACTGGCCTCAGTCATCCGCACTCGTACGTAATCATTTAACTTTCTTTCCGCCCTTGTTCTTCTTCACTTCTGCTTCTTCCCCTTCCCACTCACCCAACCATCTCCCCTTAACTCCCATCGCTTGACATCATGACTGAACCAGGGGACGAGGACGATCTCTTTGCGGATCTGTACGTCTTGCATCATCATCACCTCTCAAGAGGATTCGCTCACCGGTTCTTCTCTCTTCTAGGTACGACGCGGATGAATCAACGAATCGCACAACGTCAGCAGCAGACGTTCCTAGACAGGACGATTCAGCTTCCCTGGGCCCAGCTGCGCAGCCTCCGGCCACTTCAAGCTGGGAAGCCGCTCCCGAGCCGCTAGCTGTGCAAGACCCTTACCAGGCATCTGGCTTTGACCATGGCTATCAGAATGGTTCCGGGAGTGTCGATGCTGGCTCTGTCCCTCGCATGGCTGCCCCTGCGGAAAATGAACCACAGGCAGGGACAGGAATCAAAGAAGACGGGTAAGTCAACTGATTATGCCCCTGTATGCTCCCCTCGAGTCCAGATTCTGTATCCTCGGTCGCAAGTGTTCGTTTGGTACGTGTCTGGGTGGTGCGTGTTGCTATTCACGGTACAACTGGTTGTTGGGTGGTGGGATCAGACGCGCCTTGGCTATGATATAGCTACCGCGAGCGTTGAGGGCCGTGACCTGGTGGGAAGTGAGTCGTTCGATGGTGTGGGCTAGAACAGCCAGGGTCATCAAACGCTAGTCCATGTGTCCGCCTGAACGGACGTCTTCAGGAGCCATGGGAGCTCTCTTTCCGATCATTGATTTTATCAGCCAGCCGAAAGGGCAGTTGCAAGCAGAGAAGAACATGGCTCAAACTCCGGAATGGGCTTAATTGAGTGAACCAACCAAAACCACGAGTGACCAAGGCTCTATCCGCGAACCATTGTCAGCATCCAGATATAGTACAGCCGATACTATATAGCTTCTTGTCGATATTCGTTGATAGAGCAGAGCAAGAAGTAGCAACCGTGCTGTCTCCTCGGAGACCGCAAGAGACAGTGTCAATTCACTTATTTCGCCTGACTTCCTGCTTCCGCTCGGCCCGCTGAAGATCTTATCGGCTCCTGTAGAGCGATGCACAAGGTCATCATCGGCTCTTTTTCTTTGTGGCTGCTCAATTAGGATCATATCTGCTATGCGGCGGCCAGCATTTGGACAAGGGGAACTATACAGCCCAGCATTAGCATGCTGTACTCGTGAATAGCAGCTTTAGCACCACCAGCTTCGCATTAGCCAGGACACACACACACATGCATTCTGACATTCATTCTGTTGCTTGTATTCAACTCGAAACTGACGGTATGGGATGCTAATCATGATCATGGATAGGAAAATGTTTATCGGTGGTTTGAACTGGGAGACTACAGATCGTATGCACCACGTCCAACCGGAGTATTTTGTATCTAACCTCGGATCACAGAATCTCTGAGAGACTACTTCTCTCAGTTCGGCGAGGTCCAGGAGTGCACCGTTATGCGAGACAGCGCTACCGGCCGCTCGCGTGGCTTTGGATTCCTCACTTTCCGAGACCCAAAAACAGTTAATACGGTTATGGTCAAGGAGCACTACCTGGATGGCAAGATTGTAAGAAAGCTTCAACATATATGTGGAAAATGTGAGCTGACACGTCGTAAAGATTGACCCCAAGCGGGCAATTCCTCGTGACGAACAAGAGAAAACCAGCAAAATCTTCGTCGGTGGTGTAAGCCAGGAAGCGACAGAGCAGGACTTCAAGCAGTTCTTCACGCAATTCGGCCGGGTCGTCGATGCCACTCTCATGATCGACAAGGATACCGGGCGGCCCCGCGGGTTCGGCTTTGTCACATTCGACAGCGAGGCTGCCGTCGAAGCAGCCCTTTCACAGCCTCTGGACATACTCGGCAAACCAATCGAGGTGAAGAAGGCCCAACCGCGTGGCAATCTTCGCGATCAAGAGAACCAGCGCGGCCGCGGCCGTGACTTCAACCGCGACATGAGTCAGGACGGCGGCCAGCAGCAAGGCGCGCAGGGACAAGGTATGGGCGGCATGACGCCCCAGATGATGGCGCAGTACTGGCAACGTATGCAGCAGTATTTCGCAATGATGCAGCAGCAGATGGCCATGGCCAATTCCCAGGGCCAAGGAATGGGCGGCGGTATGGGCATGGGAGGCATGAACCCTGCTATGATGCAGCAGATGCAACAGATGCAGCAGATGCAGATGAAGCCTCAACAGGGCAGTGGCGGCATGAGTCCCAATCCGCAGAGCCCCGGTTCCCAGCAAGGCATGCAGAATATGATGAACTCGGCTATGATGCAGCAGATGCAGCAGAACCAGGGTCAGGGACAGATGAGCGGCGGCGGCAATGGTAGTGCTAGCCCCGGCCCCAATGCTGCGTACAACTCCCAAGCAGCTGCTGCCGGTGGCCCTGGATACAACGCACAGGAACAGATCGCCTTCGAACAGCAAAAATATGAGCAGCAGCAACAGACTCGCCGCGTCATGGACAACCGCGCATTTTCACCCTACCAGCAGGGCGGCCCGACTTCGTGGGAGGGCATGTACGATGAAGTGCCTCAGCCCAACATACCTACGGGGCCTCAGGGTATGGCCCGTGGTGGCAGTATGGGACGCGGTATGGCCACCCTTTTGCCCGTTGCATTCATCACTGCTAATGACAGGAATTTCTACAGGTGCAACACCGCAGCCGCAAAGCACAGCGCCCGCCAATGCCCCAACGGGACCCCGAAACGCTGGCAAGCCTGGCGCCAATTACCGCGGCGGTGGTCGTGGAGGACACCGGGGGTTCCATCCTTATTCTCGCGGCTAGAGGGTCAGAAGCCGCCTCAACCATACGTTTCCTTCCTCATATTGTCTGCTTTCTTCTTTTCTTGTCCTTGTTTTCTTTCTTCTTTCCCTATAACCTTGGTCGGGTCTGGTTTCTCATGAAGCACCCGGACGGCGAATCTCATGGTGCGTGGTCTTTTGATTTCTGCATGGGAGAGGGTAAAACCAGAGCGAAGGGCTGGGTACGGTTGTTTCAATAGTTTCAAATGGTCTTCAGGTTCCAAAGAAAGCCCATCGATTAACGAGCCTATTGTAATAAAAGAGTTAAAACGGATAGTGAAATGGCTACGTGGTGATTGACAGCGTCAGCTCATCTACAGTCAAGGGCAGTTGAAATTTCAATGGCTGCTTTTCACAAAAAAGTCTATGAACATGCAAAGAACTCCCACCAAACACGCTGAACGGCCAAGAAAGGCTGAATGGGCAAATATTCAACACAGAAAACGAAATATGCAGGACAGTAGAGTTGCAAAAGAGAAACAGGAAAGGAATGCTAAACCTGTCTGTAGAAAGAACAGGAAATGATATCACACGAATCCCAAAATGACAGGGATAATCAACAGATCAATCACGCTTGAAATCTCAAAAAAGAGATAGTAATGCTGACTGCTCAATCACTGGAAAATAGAGCAGGAAAATAGAGGTCGGCGAGAGAGGTAGGAAGGACACCACCGAACGTATAACCGGTTTAATACGCCATGCCGTAGCCAGGGGCAGTAGGATTGCGGCCTTCGATACTATGACGGGAATGGTGACTCTCGTGGCTGTCGGTACGGCCATGCCCCATGTCGGAATAATCGGCGTACACCAGGCGGTCGCTGCTGCCGTTTGAACCGGGACGGCGAGGCTGGTCTCGGTATTGCTCGTACGGTCCTGTGAAGTTGAACTTGCTCATGCCCGTGTACTCGTGCTTTTGTGGGTGCTCGATCAGGAGGGACTCTCGTGCATCCAAAGGAGTAAGATCGTCCATGTCACGGCTTAGTTTGGCTGGTTGAACAAAAGAAAGGTTAGTCGAAGTCCCAGGTTAGGGAAAACAGATAGTTACTCACCCTCTTCCTTTCTCCTTCTGGTGTGGGGGTTCTCCCGGCAGCATACAATGATTGCATTAATTGCAATGAGAATAGCAAGGACGCCCGTCAAAGCGGATTGGAGGACAATGAGGACAATTCCAGTGACAGTCTTGGTGGTTTGGGACAGACCCAGCTCCTCGACGAAGACCAGCACACAAGCAACCGACACGACTCGGACAATCTGGATGGTAATGTTGATTCCCAGGCATGATTTGGTGGCGTATGGACGGTTCCACACCAGCAGGATCAACAAGAGAGACTCGACAATCAACTGACCCGCACTCTGGACCAGGCCGTGACCTTGCGCACCAGCAATGATACATCCCTTGGCGAACATGTAGATAATAATGGGGACAAACAGCCACCAAAAGTCCTTCTTGTAGTTGTCATAGAATAGGCTGTACTTGCGCCATGTTTCCTTGTCCTCGTACAAGCCAGAGGTGTCACCTTCGGCTTTCTTGTACTTGCGAGCCATGTAGAAGATGCGAGCACCAAAGCCGAGGAGGATGCCCGTAAATGTGGCAAGGGTAACAGCTGCAAGTAGTTTGGCCGCCCATGAATCCCCGTTCTTGAGCTGGTAAACGCAGTACAGCACCCAGATGCTATAGAGAACAAGAATCAAGTTGGTGATCGTCCGCGCCATCAAGCCCCAGTAGTCCTTGCGGAACGTGGAGAGTTTCTTGGGGAACGTGCCATACAGCGCCCAGATTTCCAGAATGACCTTGACGAGGAGAATGCCCACAACGATGGCGGCAATGACAATGGCGAAGATCATGAGGACGGTCATGAACGTATTGGCTGCAGGAATCATGAGCTCTTCCGAAACGCCTTTGATTCCATCCATCACCTGGTGGAGGCCACTGCCGTCATTGCTCGAGGAGGAGCTATTCTTTGTACTGGCATCGAACGAGGTATCGATGGAACGAGAGACCAAGTCCGCAACTTGGACAACCTGGTCAAGAGCCCGCCTTCTAAGCCACGACGAGCCGCCGGATGAGCTCGCGTTCCTCAAGTACTGGAAATTGGCGTCTGTCAGGTTGCCGCCAGTCATTTTGCGAAAGTTGTCAATGGAAGTCTGCATGTCCGACCACGGGATCAGGCCCGTACTCCAGGCAAAGTTCTGGCTAAAGCTCTTGTAGACTGCGGGATAGCTAACACTCAACATGCCATTGGTGGCCATGGTGTGAAACCAACCCATCACATCACCGAACCCCGGGCTGGCGGAAGGCGCGCCGGGATGGCCCGCCGCCCCCATAGCAGACAGTCCGCTGAGTGCAAGGGCAGCGGCTGCGATGCCCGCCGAAACATAGGTTACTGCAGGGATGTTCGTGGTCTTGCCGTTGGACAACTGGGACTCCACGCAGGCGACGTCTTTGCCGCTATCCTTGGACTTGAGCACCAGCTTTGCCTGACCATCCAAATCAGGAATGGAGAAGGCAATGGAAGGGATCTGGCTTGCATATTCGGACGGAATGGGGAGTTTTCCCTGGGCCGAAAAGGAGCCGGACGGAACTACAGCCAGTCAGGCCAGATAATTGAGAAAAGAAGCCAGACCGAGTCGAACTTACCAGGACATAATCTTGCAATGTGCACCTCGTCGCTGCATGGATCAAAGGACCTGGTGTAAACCTGCTTGCCGTACGCCGTGACGGTTAGGGCGGCCATGACGTTCTGCGCCTTATCGTTGGTGCCGGCCACATCGAAAACCACTTCGTTGTTGGAGCGTGTGTAGGTCACATCCAACTTCTGCACTTTAATGTCGGAGTCCGCCATGCACAGCCCGAATCCGTCCGTAGTCAACGTATCGGAGGCTACTGCTGCGGCGGGCAAGAGGCCCAGCAGAGCACCCCAGAGAAGATGAGTTCTCATGGTGGCCCAAGTCTCCTCCGCGTGGCGTCGGGCTAGATCCAAATATTGCCCGGTCGGATGGGGTTCTGCACGATGAACGTTCAGGAGGCGCGTGTTATTCCAATTCAGCAAGGATGGATCAATCTCAACGAGAGGAAGAAGAAGGCAGGGTCAACCTGCAGAAGAAGAGAAGTTTAAAAAAAAGACACCGGAGCGGGTCGCTGAGACAGAGCGCCCTAGGTGGGAGCGAGTGTGTTGAAAGAAATAGTAGCAGCGAGCAAGAGACAGGAGAGAACGAGCGAACGGGTTGGTTATTGGAGGAGAGAAAGAAAGGAAGAACGAAAGGGAGCGAGGATGTGAGGGTAGTGAGTGTGTAAGAATAGAGATGGGAGTGTTTTGACCCCCTGATATGATGGGCGTTTCAAGTCTAGACTGGTACCACGGAGGCAAGTACTTCCCCACTATGGATGATACTAGGAGAGGTACTTCCCACCAGGTACTACAATAGCCTCCGGCTGGTCCATCACTCGTCCATGGCTCAGCCCGTCTCAGATGCTCCACTCGGTCTGGGCCTTTCGATGTACAATTTTGGAACAGCCACGCCAGCGACTCCGTGAACAGGTCCTAGTCGATGTAGGATGATTATTATTGTTACTATTATTATTCTTCTTCTTCTCGACTAGACACCACTCCGTGGTGGGCCAGGCAGAGTTTTATTTCTTGTTTTCCCGTTTTGGTTGTACTGACAGGATAATCTTTGTTGGGGCGTGACTTAATCAATGTGAGACACGGCGCGTTCCATCCCTCCAATATAATCTGAAATCATCGCTTCGTCTGTGACTCTCGCATGGCCGCCCGTGCGCTTCGGCTGCCCCCAAGCTTAGGCCCTTTGGGCGCCTCCGTCGCGCTCGTCGGTTTCGCGGTGCGCACCCGCCGCCGTGACTGGATTGCGTCCAGGAAATCTCGCCGGAACTGCTCTGCAATCCGATCGTCCGCCGCCTGATCATCCCCTAATCCCTCTTCCCCCGGCTCGTCATAAACATCCACTGTTAAAGATTAGCACGCAACCTTTTTATTTTTCTCCCCAAAAGAATATCAACATACGTTTGCTCTCGCGCAACACCTCCTCGACAAGTCGATCTCGCTCGATGTCGGCGCTTGTGCGTCGCTTGCGATGCCGCCCCCGCTTACTCTCGTGGTCCGCCTGTTGCACCTCGGTCGCGGCTATATCGTCATCACCCGCGAGTCTTCGTGTCGCGGCTTCGGTTCGCGCGATGTTCTGCAACTTGATCTCCTGGCCAAGGTCGATTTCATGTAGTTTGCCTAGCGATGCTGGCTCACGTTGCTGCTGCTCCGGGATTGTTCCGCCGGCGCTTTCTTCTGCAATTGGTTGGCCAACGGTTGAGTCTGGGTCTGGTTTTCTTTGGGAGCGCTTAGCCAGCTCGGACTCTATATAAGCCATCCTTATCTCGTTAGTCCACATCTCCCGAGCATCAAGAGCAATGATGAAGAAGGGTCCGTACATGTGCTTATCAACGTCGACTGTCTGGCCGGTGTAGCCCGTAAATCGGTCACCCATAGCCTGAAGGCGCTCATTCTCCGGGTCTTCAGCGGGAACCAGCCCGGTCTGGCGGCTTCGGTCAGCGCCGGGGCGTGCGGGGGAGAACTCGATCCCGCCTTTTCGAGGTCGCGGTCGACGAAGAGGACCGGATATCTGCTGTTCGGAGTAGTTGGCTTTCGACGGGGACTCTGGCGCGCGATCATCGTCGATGGCGGGAGAGTGGCTGGCAATATCGTCGGATTCGTGGTCAGGGCGCCGCCGAGCGAACTTGCGCCGCTTCATGGGACGGAAGAGAGGTTCAGAGGTGGCATCAGCATCCATTGAAGCTAGTTGTGTTCAAAGATCAGTATGGTTGTGGAGGTGTAAGTGCGTAGAAGTCAAGAAAGTGAAGGGGCAAATATCGTCCGCCCCCGTCACCGCCCGCGCAAACCACTCAGCATTCACTCACACTCTCACCAGCCTTTCCTCCTTGTCTCCCTCTGCACCCACGCAATCCTCACCATGAATTCCTCCAACCCTCCTCAAGCTGCCGAATATGGTGGAGGTACGTCCCCCTAATTTCATGCGACCCGCTTCTCACTTGCACATGTCCCGGTCCCTGTCCCGTCTCGCATACAAATACTGACTGCTCGCGCTGGTAGATGAGGTCTCTGCCATTGTCCTAGACCCAGGATATTCCACCACTCGCGCTGGCTTTGCCGGTGAAGACGCGCCCAAGTCTCTGATTCCCACATACTATGGTAAATATAATGCCGACGGTCAAGAGAAGTTGATCTTCGGCGACGATGTGTTCGTCACCCCACGACCGGGCCTATCGGTCCACAACCCAATCGGCAAGGATGGCATTGTTGAAGACTGGGATATGGCAGAGAAAGTCTGGGAATATTCGTTTACTTCGCGATTGACTGGCGCCAAGCCCGGCAATCCTTTCCAAAATGGCTTGAACGACATCTCCAACGAGGAGCTCCCAGCAGAGATGGAGGTGGAAGCGGATGAGAAACCCCTGGCCGACAGTCCTCTGCTCATGACCGAGTCTGGGTGGAATCCAGCCAAAGCGCGTGAGAAAACGATTGAGATCGCCATGGAGAACTGGGGCTCCCCGGCTTACTACCTGGCACGCACGGGTGTCCTTGCCGCGTATGTCATTCTTTTCGCTGCCACATTCTCTGTACAACACTGACAATTTGCCTGGTTTTCTAGTTTTGCCTCCGGAAAAGCCTCTGCCCTCGTGGTTGACATTGGCGCTTCCAACATCTCCATTACGCCGGTCCACGATGGAATGATTCTCAAGCGAGGCGTACAGCATTCTCCGCTGGGAGGCGACTACATCTCGTCCCAGATCCGCGCTTTGTTCAAATCCAACTCCCCCCAACCCATAACGATCACACCGCACTACCTGATCAGCTCAAAGACCGCCGTCGAGGCCGGCCAGCCTCCCCAAGCGAAGTACAAGACGTTCCCGCCCGAGAAGGCGCCGGACGCGTCCTACCGCTCGCTTCTCGAGGACCGCACCCTGTCGGAGTTCAAGGAATGCGTGGTTCAGGTGTGGCCCGGGCCGAACAAGCTCGCTGCCACCGGTCCCACGGGTGTCTCCAATGAGGAGATGGCCCGAACCACCCCCGGCCGGCCCTTTGAGTTCCCTGATGGGTACAACCAAGTCTTCGGTGCCGATCGTTTCCGCGTGGTGGAATCGCTCTTTGATGCCAAGGCCGCCCTTCCAGACCCGGACTCGCCTTTCCCAGCCCCGACACAAGCCCAGACCATCCCGGAGCTCATCAAGGCCTCCCTCGGCGGCGTGGATGTCGACATTCGGCCTCATTTGCTGGCGAATGTAGTAGTAACAGGTGCATCGAGCTTACTCTATGGCTTCACGGATCGCCTCAACCATGAACTGATGCAGCTCTTCCCCGGACCGAGAGTGCGTATCTCCGCCCCCGGTAATACCGCCGAACGACGCTTCGCCTCCTGGATCGGAGGGAGCATCCTAGCAAGTCTGGGTACTTTCCACCAGATGTGGATCTCCAAGAAGGAGTATGAGGAGCATGGCCCAAATATTGTCGAGAAGCGCTGCAAGTGAGACTCTTTTTTAAAAATTTGATTGGGTTCTTTTACGGCCGTATTATGAGTTTTCCTTGCTGTTATTGTCGGCTTCTGTGGTCTCATTTCGGGGCGTTCGTGTTTTCTGCGCTGTTTTTGAGGGCGCTTGGGGAGATATCTGAGCCAGTCCGGGTTTAGGCCCTGGCAGCGAGGGCCTGACGGAAAAACAGATTCTAGACGCTTTTTGTACGAATAATACCATTTGCCTTGCGTGTTGTCCAATGTTCGAATTGTGCAGCTTGTTTTATGCAGAGGTGGCCAAGCTCACCACTATGTATGTAAAAGTAGAGGTATAAAAACAGGGTATCCTGGGTAATCCTTTCCAAATAAAGAAATTTCTTGCAAAAGAGTGTGCAACGATATGGGAAATGCCCGTTCAGGCTTGGGCACAGTCGACAGTGCGAGGTCTATTCTCAGCAGTGACCGGCCGACTCACCGGGAAAAACGGCGAACTGGGTGTGGGAGGTGGCACTGTTGGAAGCGCAGTGATGATTGAGCTCGCTTCATCGGCCGCATCACAGGCTTTATCTTTTTCACTGTATCGACCGAATTCCTCGTCTAGGTTCGTTTGGACTGATAACACATGTATCCGAGGGGCCGTTTCGGGTCTTGATCTGAACGAGTAGGTGTTCAGAAGCTCAGGCGCGTGCACCCATGACATCTGCCGTTCCAATTGGGCCTTGGTCAGAGTCGGGTTTTCGTTGGCTGGACGAGCTCGTGCGTTTTTTGTGGATTTCACTCGGAATACGCTGCGGGGCCAGTCCTTGGTTTTTGGCGGTGAATTGGGACCGCATGTTGACTTCTTAGCCATGTTGTCCCATGCCTCCACCACGCGGTCCGCCTTCAGGTAATGCGAAATATGCTCCTTCATGGTATTTCTCCGGCCAAGAGGCGGTATCTGGGTCTGTTGCTGTCCGGACTGTAAAGATGGCTTCACCGCTGACTGTTGAGTACGCGGGCGTCCGCTCGTGTAAAGAGCCTTCAAATGCTCCATTGAGACGCTGCGTGAGGGTCGAAGCGTCCTCGAAGGGGCTGTTGCGGGTCGATTCTCGGTCGTGTTGAGTCTTTCACTGACGGATCTTTTTGGCAGGAAAGATCGGGAAAACTTTCTAACAAGTCTGCCCGGCGTTCGAGGGGGAGATGATGACGCTGGTTCAGGAGCCTCGGCTACTACTCCCAATGCACTGCATGATTTGGCCCGATTCAAAGCCTTGGGCTGAGAGTTAACGTTTGTCATAACATTGGCGCTCCTGGTGCCCGATTCCCCTGTCTCTGTGGCTGCTGCAAGGTCGGTCTTCTTTGGAGTCGCTGGCGTGGAGTTAATCATGCCAGGGGCCCGCGGAAGAGGTTTGTTCGAAACGGGCCGAGATGATATGGTAGCGGGCCCTTTTTCAAAGAGCTTTTGCCTAACCGACCTGCGACGAACTGGGCCTCGATTAGATGCTTGGATGGAGGATCGCAAAGGTTTCCTGCTGGCCACACCCACGCGTCGTTGCATCTCGGTAACGGCCAGATTGAGATCACTCAGTGCTTTGTGAAGAGACGTGGCTTGTCGACGAAGTTTCGAGAAAGCATCCATCCAGCCTTCCATGTTGTCTGTCATGGCCCGATAGAAAGCATCAAGACTCTCTGACTCAAAACAACCTTCATCCGCGAGCTGCCGCAAATAGTGCCAAAGGGCACGCATAGCCTCCTTTCCTTTGCGAATGTCCTTGAGAGAGTCGGTAATAGCAACCGTGAATCGTTCAATCGCGTGCTCGATCTGATCGTTGTAGGAGATGAGGGACAATCGGAAGTTGCGGTCATCCAGCATTTCATCAAACGCCTCTAGGTTCCCGAGGGGCAAACTCAGATACTGGATTCTAGTGCGGATATCCAGGCGGATGATCAAGAAGTCTTCTGTTGTCCTTTCCAGAAATCCGTCCATCTCATCCACATGAGTCTGTAGGATTTTCATGACCTCTGCCTCTGATTTCGCCTGCCGCTTTGCTAGGAGGTGCACCCCAAAGACCATCTGAGAGATCAATTTCCAAAAAGGATGGTATCTTTCGGTTTCTCTTTGACGCCATTTCCGGCCACACAGCCGTTCGTACTCGTCGTTCTCTAGGAGATCTCGACGGCGTGACTGCGCATCCATCTCGACCACCCATTCGCTTTCTGGGCCATCATTTGTCTCCACGATTGATTCCTCGAATGGAGCCTGCAGTTGTGAGATTGGATGGGCGGGGTAATCGGCTCGATTTTCCTCCAAAGCCGCCAGGGCTGTTGGGTTTTCCATGGCTTCTGGCCTGGGGGTTGCCCTGGGAGCCATAGGTCTGCACGGTACGTCTGTTGCGGGTGTATACAGCGCCGTCGTATAAAGATCAAATCTCGGGAGACACCTTTCGGGAAATTCTTGTTATGCCGCAACGCGCAGCGTGCTGCTCAGAAGCATCCGTCCGGCACAGTCGAGACTCGGGTCACGATCAGAACTGAGGGTCTGGCGCCGATCGAAATTAACGTGAAAATGCAGAATCGGTCATCATTCGATCGCGCAATATGTAGTGTGGGAGTGTTGAGAATCAAACTCGAGGGGAATTCGCCGAGAGTGAAAGAAAGAAGCGAGTTCTTTGATCTGCGACAATCTTTGTGTCAGGGGGGCCCGGGGGACATTCCCGAGGCGACAGGCGGTACTCGTTGACAAAAAGGATGTGGAGATCCACTGACAGCCGTGATTCGAACCAGGGAATTGGAATTCCACCCGGAACAGGCTAGCCCACGGCGGATCTCTTGTTCCCACGAGTGAAGAGCCCGATCGGACGGGCTCCACCAGGTTTCATGTCAAAATGATATTAGGTATCCAGACTCGCGATCTCGTAGCGATGAGGATCGGCACTGTGTGCGCAAAGCCCACGAATCATGGCCCAGGCACTCTGATTCGTTTCTATTTCGGTCGGTCGGTCGGTCGGTTTCGTTCTCTGCATCATTATTGCGGGTCCTGCGCTGAACCCTCCTCCATGAAGATGGGATCCCAGAAATTCGTCGGCAGGGATAGGTCGAAAAACTCGCCAAAGAGCGTGTCAATGTCCGTGAACCCTTGCAGTGGCGCCTCCAGATCGGTGAGTCCGGCCTCGAAGGATTCCGACACATCGGGGGCAGGTGGCACGACCGAGGAGCCATCGCGCCCTTCCGGGGGGCAGCTTCGGAGCTACTATTATTGTTCAGGGGGGCAGAAAAAGCGGGGACCTCTGACTCTGCCGAAGCTGCATGGCCGGGGTAGGGTAAATGATGATGCGATGGCTCGTGTGGCTGGCCTGAGTGGGCGGGTTGGCGGCCTTCAATCTGATGCACCGCTTTGCGCCCGAGCCGAGCCATCGCTTCAGCCCAGTACCAATAGACGCTCAGTGCTTCCAACAGGGAGCACGACGCCTCTAGGCTCCCCTTAGCTCGGTCAAGGTGCGTGATCAACTTACTCGAGCGCAACTGACGGTAAGAGACACCCATTGATAAAGTGATCGCGTAGGGCACAAGGGGAAGAGGGGGCAATTCGTCGGCGCATTCGGATGCGACAATGGAGTGAATCCGGACGGCCGCAAGTCCCTGCCGAACGGATGAGAGCTTGGAGCTATCGAGGTGTTCGGAGACCTTATGCCGGCATGACAGGATGGCAACGGCATGATAGTAAAGTTCCAAGAAGCCTGCATCCATTTTAGTTCCGGGCGGATATCGGAGGGGGAGCGTGGGGATGGAACGCACCAAGAGTAGCAAAGTCCAGGTCTTGAGTAGTATTCTTTCCCACAATATCCTCAAATGCTGGGAACCCTTCCTCCCATCCACTGGTGCTGGTGTCAGCCGAGGGGCGATAGAACGAGATAACGGTTGCTAGCAGATCAGAGATGGCAAGCCACACCGCAAAGGCTCCTCGCGACTGGCGGTCGTTGAAATTGGGTTTCTCGACCCCAATGTCACGATCGGCTAAGAGAACTGGGCGGCCTCCAATACATGCATGCATCTTGTCCAACGTCCACAGACACCAGAAAAGCTTGGTGGGAGGATCGGTGGATGTGCGACCTGGCCGGTCAAGATGCAGACCAATGGTTTGGGACTGGTGGATAGCCTGGCACAGGTGCATGGATGCCGCCTCTGCGCCTTCGTATCCCTCGCAGTGCAAAGACATCAATGCAAACACGCGGATGCGAGTTAGGCGATCTGGCTCGATTTCAGCATCCATGGCAGCGACGAGTCCCTTGTAGATTTCGGAGCAGAATTGACGCGGCGCCACGGTGGGACCATCTGCCGTCAGGCGAAGATGAGGACCAGCGGCACGATGTTTGGCTGCCACAAGGCATATTGCTCTTTCAAGAAACACACTAGCCGAGCCCTCTACTTGTGCCTGAAGAAAGGTTTCCTTATCAAGGAGTGGTACAATATCATTGACCTTGGTGAAATATATATCCGTAAGATAGTGCCGAGTCGCCGCAGGAAGTCGCTCGCATGCCTGCATGGTACTGACATAACGCTGGTGTAACAGGGACGCAACCGAATGGCCCACCAGAGCTGTCTGAGAAGGGAGAATGGATGGAGCAGCATTCACCATTGGATCGTGATGTTGGTCGGCGTGGGAGTCGTCCCCCTGGGCAGCAGAACTAATCCAAAGCCCAATGCGGCCTCGCAGAGGGGTTCCTGTCGACTCGTCCAATCGTTCTCGAATCACGGATTCCGGATTGAGATCTCCGACAAACCGATCGGTTGCCGAGAAAGACGGGGAAGCTCGGCCGGCAGGCGTGGTGTTCGCCGGGCCGAGGAGTAAGCCTGTCGAAGCATTCCTACCCACCGACGATTCATGGGCTCTAGACTCTACCAGCCTGGAATTCGGGGCCAGATGTCGACAGCGTTTCTTCGGGTTGATCAGCTCTCGAGCTCGACGGAGCTTGGATGTCTGGTACACACACACCTTTCGTCGCTGGCAACTGGGACAAGCGCGCAGGGCCCGAACCCGACTGCGCGACTGGGGAGTATCGGCGAGCCAGGTAAGCTCCATGACCTTGACCGCAATACGCTCAGCTGCCTGTCAGCCTGCACCTTCGAGTTCGTTGTCAAACGGAGCGTTGTGTCGTGAACTAGTTAACTAGTTAAGTTCGGGAACGGAAGTGACTAAGCGTGGAACTACCTTGTAACTTGGTTAACCTAGTTATAACTACCCAGGGAGGTGCCATCCTGCTACAACTGTCGTGATACGGCAAGAAAATTGTCGGAAACAATGTACATGGACACTTATCCGCCTGAAAACTCCGAGTGCTCCATACACGCCAATCAACAAGAGAAAGTCGGAGAAGTAACAGCTACTCGTCCTCTGCAGCAACCAGGGCTTCCAGAGCATCCGCGCCATCAAATTCATCATCCACCGGCACATCCTCATTCTGCTTCAGAGGCTGGTCCTCAGACGCCGATTTAGCAGTCGACGTCGGATCAGCCAGGGAAGCATTCTCCTTATTCGAGGATGGAGACGGCATAGCTTTCTTCTTGGTCGGCCCCAGGTTCCAGTCGATGACCCCGTCGGCCCCGTAGCGCGTAGCAAGCCAGTCGTTGCATTTCTTGAAATGGCCGTTCTCAAACTGCATCCACTTGCGTTAGCATTTCATATACGATAGGGAAAAAAGGTCCACTCACAAAGCCTCGATGTGCACTCAGTGGACTCGGGTGCACGGATTGCAACACGCAGTGCTTCTGTCGATTGATGCCGGCAACCCGCTTGCCAGCAGGAGTGCCCCAGGCGAGAAAGACCACACCACGCGTCCGGACTTTGGCAACGAGGTCAATTGCCTTCTGAGTAAACCTCTCCCAGCCCTTATTCGAATGGCTGTTGGCGTTATGCGCACGGACGGTGAGACACGTATTCAACATCAGGACACCTCGATCCGCCCATGGTGTGAGAAGTCCGCCTTTGTCCGGCGGGGCCTGGAAATCCGGGTAGTTCTTCTTGATGCCTGCGTAGATGTTGACCAGCGACGGCGGAGCCCGGGTCGGCGGCCGGACCGAAAATGCTAGACCGTGTGCCTGGTTGTGGTTGTGGTACGGATCCTGGCCGATGACGACGACCTTGACGTTGTGCAGAGGGGTATGTCGGGACCTAGGTCATTGTCAGGGCGGATCAGGAAGTCCATTTCAGGTGCCTTACCATGAGTACACATCTTCCTCTGGGGGGAAGACTTTGGCCCCCGAGTCTTTCTCTTTCTTGAGAAAACGCTTCAATGCGAGGAACTCGGGAGTGACGCACTCGTCCTTGAGATGAGCCAGCCAACTTTCGTCCAAGGTGTCAATCTCCAATTTCAGTAGCTCCTTCTGCTCCGGGGTCAATGTCGCCACCCATTTCTCCTTGTTGAAATTGCTGGGGCGTGCTGGAGCGGCTGCTGGATTTGTCGATTGTGTCGTCAACGGCCTCGCCTTGGGGGGCCCGAAGAAGGACACGATGCTCGCGTTGCCCTTGGGCTTCTTTGAATCCGACCCCGGGGTGGAGAGATGATCCGCGTTGCGCTTCAGGGCGGCCGGACTCGACATGGCGACGAAACGCAAAGGGCGAGCGATACGGGAGAAGTGGAGCAGATGGAGCATACACGGGGGCTAGATGATGTACTTACTACAGTTCGAAGGGGGAGGAAGTCCATTGACCGCGTCGCGCGTCGATGACTCAGCACCGAGCATCCAACCGCAAGTTGGCTACCCAATACGAACTAGTTGCTACATCTATACGAGTACCCTACCGACCAGGATGTGTAGAGCAATACCATTCATTGACGGGAGTACAATAGGCTATTTTGATAGTAGGCAACCCCTCGTTTACAGCTCGTCATGCTCGGCCTCGGCAGGAGCAGGAGTCTCGGCAGCCGCCGGCGCGGTGACATCGCCTCCCTCCTGGGGCTTCTTCTCACCACTAGCCACACCCTCGACCTTGTATTTGCCGTTCTCCTTGATGAAAGTAACCAGGTCCTCCACGGTGCGAGACCCAGAATACTCAATGGGCTCGTCCTTGGCACCAGCCGGGTAGAGCTTGATGGTAGGGAAGCCAGTGATCGAATCCGGGACGTCGTTGGCGGTGGCGTCAATCTTGGCAATGGTGACCTTCTCGGCCAGATCACCAGAGTACATCTCGGCGAGCTCGTCGTACTTGGGCGCAAGAGACTTGCAGTGACCGCACCACGGGGCATAGAACTCCAGCAGGACATCCTTGTCGTTGTCGATGACCACCTCCTGGTAGCTCTTGCCGACAACAACGGTGACCGGGCCCTCCTGGGTCTCGGGGATGGGCTCGGACTTGATGCTAGGCTCGATCTTGCCATCCAGAACGTCCTGGATGAACTTGCCAACGGCCTTGGCCTCGATCTTCTTGCTCTGGTCGTAAGGGTACTTGACGTTCTTGGTGGTGTCCTGGATGGCAAAGGCCGGGAACGTCTCGGGCTCCAGGTTAAGGTTGCCGGCGTGGGCACCAAACAGCTTGGCATCCAGGGTGACAATGTTGATGGCACCGCGGTGCTTCTCGGCGATCGGCTTGAACTCGTTGGCGAAGGCCTCGCGCTCCTCCGCGGTCTCCGCGAAGATGTACGCCAGCGGAATACCAGCCTGTGGATGACAAGATCAGTCATGAAATCGGACTGGGAAATCAGGACCACACATCTGACGTACCGTGATATACTTGGAGTAGGTCTCAGGACCCAGCTCACCAACAAGCGGAGTGCTGGCGGTGTTGACCCATTCCAGAATGGCCTCGTTCTCGAGCTTGCCGTCGAACACGGCCTTCTTCTCATCGAAATCCTTGTAGAGAACAATCGAGGGCTGCTTGACACCCTCCGCCTTGGCGAGGGCGGCATCATCGGATGCAGCGAACAGGTAGTTGTCTCGTTGCGACTCAGCGAACGCGGTGAAGCTCTTGCTGGAAGTCTTGTCGTCCGACGCGATGTAGCCGATGATCACAATCTTGTCCATGGTCTTGAATTCCTCCAAGTTCTCTTCGGTCACGCTCGACACGGCGGGGAAAGACTGCTTGGTCATGTATGAGACGATTCTGCCAACGACCCGTTAGCTTGTGGTCGATCAAACGAGGGAATGTGTAGACACCACGCACGATTCGGTCTGACGGGCACCACCGTACGGCTTGGGGTCTTCCGCTCCACGGAACACCTTCAAGGTCGGGTATCCATCGACGTCGTAGGTCCGGCACAGCTCCTCCTCGGCAGTGCAGTCGATCTTGACCAAGGGGATGTCTTTGGCCTTCAGCTCCTGAGCTGCCTCTTCATACTTGGGGGCTAGCGCCTTGCAGTGACCACACCACGGAGCATAGAACTCGGCCAGGACCAAGGGGTGCTCCTTCACGAAGCTGTCAAAGGTATCCTTGGTCAACGAGATGACCGTGGCGTCAACGTCAGCGTCAGCTGCCGGCTCCGAGGCCGAGACCGCGACCGTGACACCAAGAAGGCTCACAGCCAAGGAAGCGAAGGATCGCATGATATGTATGTATGGGGCGTGAGTGAGTGAGAAGTCACGACAGTTGAGAATACCCGTCTCCCAATGCAGGTGGTAGTTTGGAGAGAGATGTATCTACCAGGGACAGATAGATGGGTTAATAAAGAAGAAGTCGACGGCGACTAGGGAAGGAGGATGCTTACCCAAACCGGGGGGAACTGGAGAAGTATGTATTTAAATGGTTTGTTTGGGGGCGAGTTGAGGACAGACTGTTCTTTGGGGCGGTGGAACAAGGCCGCGTTGTGACTGGCGGAGGTATGCAGGGCCCGCAAGGAGGGAGGCCAGGGCTATACGGGACAGAGCTCGGGTGAGAAGGCCCATTCGTATTCAGCTACGGAGTTACACAGTGCTAGCATATTGATACGAATAATCAGAGGGATTCCTTTTGCTTTCTATGACGGTCCCACAAGGGCTTCTCCTGCACCATCGGGATGCGCCTCCCGGATGCTCCCATACCCCGTCGCCTCTGGAATGTCATCGAGCTCAGCCCTCAACGCCAAGGCATCCCGTTTCCCCCGCTCGACATCGACCAGGAGCATGAGGGGGAGCGGCAGGAAAATGAGGACGGCGAGAAAAGCAAACGCCGGTCTGATCTCTCCGTACCGGTCCGTGATAGCGCCCACAATGGCCGGCCCGAAGACACTCGATCCTTTATCGGTGATCGCAAAGAGCGCGTAGAATGCCGCCTCGTATCCCGGTGGAATCAGCTCGCCGAAGAAGCTTCGGCAATATGAAGAGAGGCCGCCCATGACCAGGCCATAGACAGCACCCAGCGGGTACATCTCCCACGGTCGTTGGAGCCCAAACCCCGCGCGCTGCACGGCAGGAATGAACCCGAGCAAGCCGTAAATCGGGATGAGCTCAAAGAGCAGAATACAGGCAATGATCGTTTGCGATGCCCGGAGATTCAACAGCCGTGAAAGATAGCCCCAGGAAAATGCCCCAAACACCCCAGACAGCATGGCGATCACGTTGATCAGCCCCAGCGCAGCAGGCCGCATGTGGAGTTGAGTTTTGGCAAACAGCACAGCTGTGCCGCTGACGGTTGCAATTCCATCGCTGAGAAGGAACCATGCGGCTAGAAAGATCACAAGATCCTTGAGATGACGTGCTCGCATCGCGGTTTTTCCCAGAGACATCCAGGCATATACCATGTATCCAATCCAGGTGTGACGCTGCTTTCCATCATTGGGAGCGATCAAAGGGGGCCCAGGACGAGGGCGTAGCCAGAGGGCCGCGGGAATAGTGAAGATGCACCACCACAATCCAATGAAAAAGAGCACCAGACGTAGCGAGAATGTCGTCTGGTGAGTGATCATAACTAGAAATATCGCAATGATCTGCATGGTCACTGCTCCGATATAACCAATGCCAATGCCATAGGACGAGATCTGGGTGGAGAGATGAAGCTCTAGCGAGGTAAGCGAGGCAGAAAGGTCAGAAGTCGCCCTCCTCGATGCGATCAATGGTTGAGAGGCATCAGGGGCGGCCTCGGGATTGTCTTCGGGTACCAGTCCATCAGCAGGGGAGGATACTTCTTCGCGAGCCTCGAGGATAGCAGGGTGGTGGCGGACCAGAACAGGGAGAAAAGAGTTTAACAGCACAAAGGATGCACCGAAACAGGTATTTCCAATGATTGCCAGTAGGCCGCCAAGCAAATAGACTTTAGGGACCACGGCAAGAAACAACATCGTCGAAACAGAGCCGAGGAACGCAAAAGTGACCAAAAGGGTTTTGCGGTAACTTCCATGGTCGGCCGCGCCCGACATGGATATAATGAGGAGTGCTTGGATCAGCACGCTGACGGAAAAGGTGTATAGAGCAAAGCTGGCAGTGTTAATCTCAGCTCCGAGGAAGTAAATAATGCACTGGCTGGCCTCCGGCGCACGGCCATCCCCCGAATGAGCTGGCGTCTGCCAGGTTGCGCTACATGGTGTTGTCTTGTCCGACAGAAGAAAGCCTCGATCTCGAGCCATCTGCTCCAGGGTGATCGGGAGGAATGAACCTATCCGGTATCAGATTCAGGACGGGGATGCTGAAATATGTCAAGAGGATCCGCTTTAACATACCCATTGCACACACGGTGAACACCTCGGCGGCCCAGCCATAGCCATACCAGCCCGCCAGCTCCTTCTTACTGGTCGGGCGGGTATCGTCCCCGGGATACTGGGGCTGCAATGAGCAAGGCCCGCCCTCCTCTTCATGCACGCTCATGGTTTGATGGGTGATGGCATAGCCAGGGACAGCGGTTCGGTCGCGCGAGAAGACCTCCAGAAGAAGACGATGATGAATGTGAGAGAGAGTGACGCAGTCATGTGGACGGATGGACGCCTCAGGCATAAAGGGAGGTCGCCCCAGGCATTAAGGCACTTAGGCATCCAATGCTACCGTCCCGTGCTTGCGCATCGCGCCGCCCATTTCGTTCCATCGATCTTTATCAGCCCGAGTCAGTCTCATCCCTCTCTCTCGTCCCTCCAGCTCGGATCCATCCTCACCTCCGGCTGATCACCCGCCTTTCACCGGACCTGCATACGCTTTCCATCTTTCCCTTTCAGCCTCACCACGCCGTCGATTCGCTCCTTCGAACGATCCCTTCTATTTGGCTCCGTTAGTCCTCACCCTTTTGCGACAACTCGCGACCGATCCGTCAGATCTTGTGCTGTGGTTCTTGTCTCTCACCACAAGGTTATATTCAATTGAAGAGCGCGCTGGTCTGCGGTCCTTCTCCACGGTCCATCTTGTTGCCCTTCCAACACCGCCGATACAGGCCCCCAACTTGACTCGGGACGCTACTCGCGCAGCTACCTCGATTATGAACGTGGTCATCTGCCTGTACCACGGCCAGTGAGACGCATGGCATTTGGCTGAGCCCTTGCTCCTGGCCTATTCTTGAGTCTTGGCTTCCCTTCCTCACACGCGAACTCCTGCTGTCTCAAGCTCAGAACGGCGCCTGGACTGGGCTGCTCGCTCTGTGCGGTGCAGAGGGCCAAGGAGGGGAAGGCGCGGAAGACCAAACTACAGCTAGGCTGTCTGTTTAGAGATGCCCGGCGTCATCATGGACAATGCCAATATCGATGGACCTATCCAGCGCCCTGGCATCGCTGATGCTATGAATGGTGCATCAACCTCAACTGAGAAGACTGTCAATTTTTCCAGCCCCGTTAATGGACCGGTTCACGTCAACGGGGCCTCAATCGATCTTTCAAATCGGCAATCGAAAGCGACATCGGCAGAGCCCTTTGAAATACCACACATCACGCAAGGGTTTTTCTCATTTGGTATATTAGTCAACCGAGCGACGCAGCAATGCTGGAATGACCTATCCGAATTAATAACAGAGTTGGCTGCCGTTCAAGTGACTCCCCAAGAATCTTCAACGTCTCTGGCTACTACACATGGCAAATCTCCAGGGAATCAGTCGTCGGAAAATGTGCACAAGAAACTACGCGTCTTGGATTTCGCCCATGCCAAGAGAGCCGAGTTTATCAAACTCCTTGTTCTCTCGCAATGGAGTCGTCAGGCAGTAGATGTCAGCCGACTCATTGACCTCCAGGGCTTTATTCGGACTCGACATCAAGCATATGCTGCTGCTGTCCAATATGTGGGTGAAATGAAACGGGACCTCGTTCGAGCGCAAGTGGCCAACCCCGATCTGAAAACCGCCTTGGAAGTTCTCTCGAAAGGCCGAGTGAAATCCTTACCGGATGTGAGTTTTGAATCACCTTCTAGCAATCTCTCTTTCCTGACCTCCTGTTTCAGCTTGGCTATAAACCTCCGAAGCCGCTGACGGCACGCGCCACGCTTAAAAAGCTGCAAAAAATCAATCGAATAATCAGTATACGCCTAGCATTGCATGATGAAGTCCCGATCCCTTTGCGGAACTATCGAGTCCACGATGGTCGAGTTACTTTCACTGTTTTCGGGGAGTTTGAGCTCGACCTCTCGGTCGCGGAGGAGGCAAAAAGCTCTCAGTTTTTCTTTGTTGACATCCGCTTTCTGTTCTCACCATCATCCCCAATTCCAAAAGGCCGGATTTTCAACGAGCTGGATGCCAAAATTAACGACATTCTCCGAGATGACGGTTTGACCGGATGCTTTGACATGCTACACGGCCTTGTGCTCACAAACAAAGTCAGCATCCTTTTCAGACAAGCAAAAGACCTTGCTCGCGGCCTTTGGTCGGACATCCTGCGCATTGAACTTCTCCATCGAACGCTTGTCGTCCAATATTGGCCACTGAAAACGGGGCCTAAAAGCTGGATCGAGATCGGGGTCCAGAGAGGTCACCGCAGTAACGATGTTAAGCGTCGGGATTGCAGGATAGCGCGTATCGGTTTGCGCTGGATGCGAGATGGTCAGCAAGCAAGCAGTGATGATATCCAGGTTGATCTGGAGGTTCTTTCCATGGAGCGTATTTTGCGCGGCGTGATCGCACAACATACAGCCCACTTACTTTTTACCGCTTACACCACACTCAAGAAAAACCTTCTCTTCTCGAATCATTCCCTTACCTTGCGGGCCCAGCTATCTCAATCAGAGCCTGGAGATTGCCATCTCGATGTCCAACTTACAACTTCTCGCCATCTTCGAGTCTCTGTGGAGCCCATGTCAGGCGCCATTACAATGTCCGGGACACCTAATGTCATGGAGCGGCTTGAAGCCGATCGGAGTCCGAATAGGTCCTCAGCTGATGAGATCGTATCTCGGATCTCAAGGCTTCGTTGTATTGCTGCTGTTGAAGAAATCGAAGCCGGCACAAAAGCGCTTGGTCTGGAGACTGTCAGTCAAAGAGGTCTGGGAGTTGACCCGCGCCGAATATTTCCTTCAAACATATTGCGATCTACCTTCTTCACGCACTACCTCTGGGATCGTCGTTGGGTTGCCGCTGCTACAAGTAGCATGGATGGTGATCATTGGTGGTTGGTTCAGGTTCGGCCCGGTAGGACAGTGAAAACTGCACCACCGTACGGCCCTGTTGGCCATAATGCTTCGAGTCTCCAGTCGGTCCACAAAATCAGCAATACTCTGGTCTCTCGGGGGCGACTTGAGTACGCTGCGCTTGCAGATCTAGTGCATGCTTTGACAGGAATGCTTTCAATTTACGCCAATGCACGCTGTCTAGCAATTTTGCCGAGTATGGACTTTCATCCATCGTTGGAAAATCTGCACCTTGGAACTCAATTTGAAGTGCCCGATCTCTTCTTCCGCTACAATGTCGCCCAGCTTCCTTCTGCTCTCCGGATAGCACTGCCTGCAGGGCTGGAGAGGAAATCCTACATACAAGACACTGTTCGTCTGGCATTCCATGGAACTGATCGCCATAATCGAGCTGCTCTCCTGGTGGCATACGGCACTCTGAGAGGCCGCATCAAGGCCATTGTTCCACTTATCTCGAAGATGGATCCTTCAATCATTACTCAGGACAATGGCGGTGGTTTTGCACTTCGTCTACTTGTTCCTGCCGGTCACTCTGTGATCGCTGGACTTCTTGAACGCCTGCAAAGACTGGAATGCGTACTCTCGATTCTGCAGCCACTTATACAGAGAGGAATGGAGCCTCGTTCCTTGTCCTTGTCAAGGATTGCATTTGCGTATGGGCCAGCAGGAAAACTCAATGCGCGCTTTGACATCAACGTCTCAGGCCCCTCTCTGGCGATGCAAGTTGATGTCGCGGAAGCATTATCCAAGGCCCAGCCCCTCTTTCATCTACGCCTGGGCATCCATTTTGACGAACCCAGCCCTCATCGCCGGATCCAGGAGTCCCTTACCGTCTCTTTGAACCATGATTTCGCAAAGACGGGCGTGGTTCCGATTCTGAGACTCATGTCTGTCACACTTCCTCTGTTGCGTGCCTTGGATCAGATTACCTCCACTGGCCAACCGGGTTCTCCGGTGGTGAACGTCATTGTGCGCAGTCCGAGCACATTTCAAATTCGCTATCCTCGCCTCAAGGCTCAGTTCCAACTGTTTCCCCACCTGAATCGGGGTCATCTTAAGTGGGGATTGAGAAATGCGAACCGATCAAAACCGGCCGATGATAATTCAGTTGCAAGCACGATCCGCGAGAAGCTTTATAATTCCAAGGGCGATGGCTGGAACGGTCTTGGCGATGGAGCGGTGGCAGACATGGGTAAAGTGGGAGTTCTCCTTGTGGAGCTCAACAATGTCGCTCGCCAACTTGAGCTCAGCGGAGCATCTCTAGAGGAAGGTGACAAGGACCAGTCAGGCATTGCACAGTCGACCGCAAAAGAGCAACACCCTGCCGAGGACAGCGTGGGAGCTCGTGCTCCTCCAGGAAAGGCGCCTGGTGCGCATGCCAACCAGGATCCTAAGCTCCACGCTGGCGGAATGGGTAACGCCGACATCATCACGATTGATTAGATGGATCATTACGATGGCGGGCAGCTGAGCCTGGTGCTTCAAAGGGGAAACGATTTCTACGATGTCTTTTGATATTCGTTCTCTGACCCGGCAGCGAGGCCGTCTCTATTTTCACGACTGTATTCCTAGACCTCATATAGCAGAAGCTATTCATCACCTTTGAAGGTTCCGATAATGTAATCTCTGTCATAATGGCTGTGCCTGTAGTAACTCATTCCTTTTATGCCTGAAATGTAGACACGCGATGCATTATTAGGTACACTCATTGACTTATTCATCTATAGGAGAGGACGTTGAGCACATTCGAGGAATCACCTAATACCGCTCCTCCCTCACTTTACCGCGGTTCCTCAGTACATCATACTCGACCCATCTCACTGTAGGGATATCGCCCTCCGGAGTCAACCGTCCAGGGTTCATGACATGACAGCCCTCGTAAGTCATGCAAAACGGAGACGTCTCGGCGTCTGCCAGAATGAGGGCCGTCGGTAGCGGATATAATTGCAAGGCAGACCCATGGTCCCACAGGACGGGTCGCAAGGGAAGTGGAAACGGGGAGATCGTCCCTTGATCCAGGATGGTCTTGACCAGCTTGCGCGCCATAGAGGTAGCGGCTCCTGTTCCAAGCTTAGCGGCGTTAGACTGGGATACCTGGTCGGTCTCTTCGTCAGGTCCAATGGAAACTGCATTACCCGCAGGGCCATCGAGTGCTTCATGCATTGTGATATCAGGCTCGTCATCGGGTTTGGTGTTCACTGCAGTTCGTCGCAATCTCCCTGAAATATCATCACGGAAGATGGCAATATCGTGCACTGGTCCGAACCATGTCAGACGTGTTGGGTTCGACGTCCAGAGAGCTTCTCCCACGGGTTCAGCTGAATTTGACCGCCCAAGCTCCGAGTTGGCAGTTGCGAATGCACGCTTGATTCGGGAGGTAAACAGTTCGGGGATCGGCTGGCGAGGAATTGTGGACGCTGCACCAGCTGAGAATGCCGAGGCCCATGGGTCATTGTCGCCGGGGACAAAAACAAAAGTAGAATATTGCAACAATGCCGGAAAGTCCGACAACACCACCGCAAGCGAGTCAAAGTATTCTTTGTACTCGATACTTCCAGCCCGACCGCCGCCACTGATGATGGCCTTTTGCACAAAATTGCCCATCATGACGAAGACCTGGGGGCGCTCAGCGCGAGAAAGATCATTGTAGATACCAAAGACCTTTTTCAAAGCGTCCAAGGTTCTCGTGTTATCGAGGTTAACCTCGCTCAACACCGCAACCTTAAGCCGAGCCGTTGGCTCCGTCACATCCAGGTTGCCTCGGAGGCACTTTTCTTGGATTCTTCTCATGCGGACACCCTGTGCACGTTCACTCCCAAGCCCTAGGAAGTCGACCCATCCAAACCCTCCACTCGAGCTGATCTCTCCTCCACCTTGACGATTGCCGCTCCCTAGTGAGATGTCTCTTCGCTCACACGGCGGACCACAAATAGATACTCCAACAAAATGACCGCCAATAGCCCCCCCGACCCCCGTATTGCCACCAAGAACGGACCCCTTGACCATCTCTTCCTCTTCGTAAATACCATCAACGAGCACAATCATCCCGGGCGCAAACCAGGCGCCGTCTTCAGGTATCATCCGTGCATGGCTAAGGTCCAGGGATACACTTCCCGTCAAATCCACAAGAGACAAATCCCCAGTCGGGGATATAGAAAGCAAGCCGAGGAGCAGATGTGAGGTGCCGCTCCTGCCGAGTAAATTGGCAATCGGGGTGAGCTTGTAGCTCTGCTGTGACGCCAGGTTAGATGATGAACGCTGCAGCAAAGGAACACCAGTGATTCCCGAGGAAGTTTGGAAAGACTCGTTGCGAAGGAGGCGCTGGTAAACAAGGTTGTATCGATCTCTGAACAGAGCTGTCTTGTGGGACGGTGGTGGAAACAACGTGGGCTTCGACTTCGTAGCCTCAAAATACTTTTTGTCCACATTATACGTCAGGCGCGGAATATCAGAAGCTGCAACAACCTTGAGCCAGGTTCTGGGGTGAAGTGACAGCTGCGAATCGTCTTCGTCACCGTCTCCTGGGGCAGTAGTAAAGGAACCGTTCGTATGACTGCTGAGCGATTCAATTCTTGCACCTTCTCCGTTTCTGCTCGTCTGCATGGACCCGTCGTGCGAATTCAGCCGCCCAGCGAGAACTCTCCCACCACTCATGCTCCCCTCCAGGGTCTGCAAGATTGCTTTCAAGGACGCGCCTTTGCCTTCTTCGACGATGACTCCTCCGCCGGCTCTCTTCCAGATCTTGGCCACCTCATCGAGGACGCGCTCTGCCAGGCCTTCCTCGCGCCAGCCTGAGCCGCAATTCTTGCCAACAAAAGCCGCCAATGTTTGTAGGGCCGAAGACGAAATTGTCAGGTTGTGCTTGCGGGTAAAGGTACGAAAAGCGACCGGTCGAAGCGTCGACGGAGGAAGTAAAATCGGCAATATCGAGGTCTGGGGTGGAGGCGCATTCGCCTTGGGGATTCGAAAAGGCCGCGCCGGGGTCCCAAATGCCGGTGATGACGAAGGAATGGGGTCTGCGGTGGTCATGACCAAGCGATGTGGGTGAGGCGTTGTAGGTGTTGAGGTATCCATGGTCTGTCACGTCTGCCCGGGGACAGGGCAGGCACAGCTTCCGGGATTTCGCAGCGGCACCGTAAACAAGAAGAATGGAGAATCTTGAGCTAACAATCAGGCAAAGTATGTGGAACGAAGTGGTTGGGTGGGTGGGTGAGGAAACCGAATCCAGACGCGTGACCGACGCGCCCGCGAGTCTGGCTTATCGATTAACTCTTATACTGTGCTTCCTTCCTTCCTGCATTCACCCTACTTGTCCCTCCCTCCCCCATCCATCCCTATTCCCTTCCTACTTCTCATCAATTTGCCAGTTCGCGTCTCTCCCTCTGCCTCTCCCTCTTCCAATCATGGCCGAGTCGTCCGAGCCGACAACCCAGCAAGACACCAAGACCCGCCTCGATGACCTGATCGCACGCGCCGCTGCAAAAGAGGCAACCAAAGATTACAATTCCGCCTCGGAGCTCTATTCACAAGCGACCGAGTTGCAAGCCGAGCTGAACGGGGAACTGTCGGCAGAGAACGCCGATCTCCTCTACGCCTACGGCAAGTCGCTCTACAATGTGGCCGTGAGCAAAAGTGATGTCCTTGGATCCAAGGTGGCTGGAGAACCTCAATCGCAACCCAGCAAGGTGCCGCCTGCCAATCCAAAATCTGCTGGATCGACATCCGCCGGTGAGAATATTGTTCAGGACGCGATTACAGGTGCCATGGCCAAGAATGTGGCCAGCACCAAGGGCGAGAGCACCGAATCGGATGCGTCGCAATCCAAGCCATACTTCCAGTTTACTGGCGACGAGAATTTCGTGGATTCCGACTCGGAGGATGAGGAGAATGAAGGTCAGGCCGGTGGTGAGGAGGATGAAGACGATTTTGCCAACGCCTTTGAGGTCCTCGATCTGGCCCGCGTTCTCTATCTCAAGAAATTAGACGCCGTGGAGGAGAGCCAAGATGGCAAAGGGAAGTCGACTGAAATGCCTGCGGACGTGAAACACATCAAGGAGCGGCTTGCAGACACCTACGATCTCCAAGCCGAGATCTCCCTGGAGGCGGAGAGGTTCAAGGATGCGGTTATCGATCTGAGAACGGCCCTTGATCTGCGGTATGCGCTATATCCGTTCGAGGACGCCTCGGTGGCCGAGTGTCATTATAAGCTCTCGCTCGCCCTCGAGTTTGCATCAGTCCAGCAAGATGAAGGGGAAGAGAAGGCCGCCAAGGTGGATGAGGAGATGAGGTCGGAGGCTGTGACCCAGATGGAACGCGCTATTCAGAGCTGCAAGGCCCGGATGGCTCAAGAGGGAAAGAAACTGGAAACCGAAAAGGATTTGGATGAGGACAAGGCCACGGCAACGAGGCGGAAGATCGCCAATGTAAAGGAGATCATCGGCGACATGGAACAAAGAGTAACCGCCCCCGAATATACCCAATCCCCTGTTGCGGACTGCTAGCTAACACGGTGCAGCTCGTTGATCTCCGCCGGGCACCGGTCTCGATTGAACAGAATGATCGGGAGAACGAAGCTATGCTGAAGGGCATCCTCGGTCAGATCGTCGGCCAGCCCGAAACGGATCAGATAGCACGCCTCGATGCCGTCAGCAAAGAAGCCACCGACCTGTCGGCGTTTGTCCGACGAAAGCCTGCCAAACCCTCTCAACCCTCGGCCTCTTCCACTGCCTCCAAAAGACCCGCAGAGGATTCAGCCCCAGAGAATGACTCCAAACGCGCGCGAGTTGAGGATGCTCCCGCGTCCAGCTAGACTGGCCTGGTCTGCTTTCGTTTGTTCCGCTACACTTCACAAAATTCCGATCAGTTTACCTGAGTACCCCTGAATAACTAAGAACCGATAAGCCGCCTACAGTGTCTCCATCTGGATCATGAGCAAGCGTCTTGCTGGTAGGTTCAAACATTCAATAGGATTAAGACTAGTAGTAGTAAGTAGTACGGGTATCATCATCATATCATGCTCAGTCACAACGAGTTCTCTCCAAAGAGCCACCCTTCAGGAAGGGCTTCGCCCGGAATTTATGACATTCCAAAAATCCCCGGCCGCTCAATCTTGCGGCTTCGGCGGCGGGTGGCCAAACCCGGAGTCCAGATGCCGGCGAACAGGTCCTCGCACTCCTCCTCATCTTGGCTGTCAAACTCCATGCCGGCCGCCGCACCGGATTCGGTCTCTTCCAGCACCTCTGCAGGAGCGTTGGCGTTTGGCGGTGACTCCCAGCAGGAGGACGCGGTGATCTTCTTAGTTTCGAGGATGAACTTGCCGACCTTGTACCGCTGGGATTCCTCCTCAGCGGCCACATACTTCCAGCCCAGCACGCTCCCGCAGAACGCACAACTGACATCGCTCACTGTATGAGCGCCCGTGACAAGCTGGCGTGGCACTGGGCGCTGGAGCACGGTGTTGGGAAGCGATGCGGTCGGGGACGATGATGCGCTGATAGATACCGCGCTAGCCACGGGCTCCGCTGATACCAGATACGCACGGCCATGGCGACCCGTAAAGCCCTTACTGATAATCTGAGAGGTCAGGCAGAGATGAGCTGCACAGTTTGAGCAGCGAAGGTACGAAACATGGCCATCCAGGAACTTGGGTTCCGGGGCGGACTTCGGAGGCTTCGGGCGAGAGAACCAGCTCTTTTGGTTGGCGCGGAAGGGGGAAGAAGGAATGAGGAACTTTGGAACGGGGGAGACCGTGACGGACTGATCTTGGGGCATGGTCAGAGTGAGGGAGGTGAAGAGGAAGATGAAGAAACCAAGGATGGGCGGTATACATCATGATGATGACCCCGCCTGAGCTGCTTATCTTATCGGATCGATCTAACTATACAACCCGTCGTGCATTCCATCATTACTACAGTGGTCCGTACGGAGGAGGCACAGCGAGCGAAAGTAGTACATGGTAAAGACAGAGTATGTAGGTAGGTAGTTATACCTCGGCCCCCAAGAAAAGCCACTTGCTGCTGACATCGGCCCCGGAGGTCCAGGGCTCCAGCGTCGTCAGGCTGAACCCGCACCATCCCAGATTCCGAACCAACTCCATTTCGGTGGCATGTTGTGAACGACTGACACAGGCAACAATTTGGGAGCACCCAAAGCTCGACATTCCCGCCAGTTCAAAGAGCGCGATCAGTCCCGACTTGAGGCCCTGGCCCAATGCATTCTCCTCCAGGAATACAAATAGCGTCCTCTCGCCATCCGTTTCGGTCACGAACCCCCGATAGATCGCATCCCCAAAGTAGTCCCATACTTCAATCCATTTCAGAACTCGGTCATGGTGCTGGATGTTGTGGAACGCATCCATCCCCAGTGACTCCTGTCGCGCGAAACTCCCCTCACCAAGAAATGTCGCGGTCAGTTTGTCACAGAAGAGCCTCTCACACTCTTCCGGGATGGTATGCGCTGCCTCCCCTTTGGATCCTGGCCAGTGGTTCCCGGGCCAGCTGCTCTCCGCGCCGGATGCGGGGAGCTCAAGGGGAGGACTTCGAAGCGGTGATTTAGACCCTGAGGGGACCTCAGGGATACCACTGTGCTCCTGTGTTGCGGCATGAGTACACAGGAGAGAGAGAAAGTGTGTGGGTGTTGTGCTTACCGGCCCCCAGCGTAGTGCAGTAGTGGAAGCCGTGAACCTTGGAGGTTGACGGCTCCACGGTGTAGCAGCTGGCAAGAATGCTAGTCTGAGAGTCCTGGTCGAGGGAATGATGCAGTTGATGATTACTACTGTGATTACTCATGTAATTCGCCATGGTGGTCAAAGGGTGCTGGGAAACTCTTCTTGACGGGGTAGTGAAAAGATGGGTTTTGGTGATGGCAGTAGCTCGAGAAAGCAGGTTCAGGCACAGTTGTTGAAGGTGTGGACAGTTGGGATGATGGAGGAGAGATGCTGAGGAGGAGGAGGAAGGAGTGTGTCTTTTGCGGGAAGTCACCTGACCCTGCACGTGCACCCATATGTATAGGAAAAGGAACTACGTACATCTATACAAGTACGTACCTACGGTGTCTACAGGTGGAGGAAAAGTATCTCTATAACAGTCTCAATGCGAGCGGCTCTACTACTAATACAAATCATGCTTTCTTCCGGGTCCGAGAACTCCTTGCCGCAGAAAGCTCAAGAAAAGAGAAGAGACAAGATATAGATGCATCATCGAAGGGGAGAATCATTCACAGCTCGCGATAGTCACTGGGCCGCACTCTTCGATGCCGAGCCTGATGGCGTTGTGGATTCACAGGCTGGCGGAAGTAGGGGGAGTCATCTTCCCGAGAGTATGGTCCCCCAAAGGCCGTCCGTTGTTGGTTGGAGAAATTATTGACGCCCGGTCCCTGGAAGCCGGGGTTGGGGGCCATCGCACCGGGTCCCTGCGTCATCGGAAACATCGGCATCGACCCGTCGCCATTGTACATGTTGGGAAATCCATTCGGCATGGAGCCATCGCCAAACATCCCGGCCGGAAGGGGATTAAAGGGCATGTTCATCGGGTTCCACCCGGGGCCCATGCCATTGGCGAACATCGGGTTCATGAATCCCATCGCATCATTCCCGAACCCTGGTCCGGAAAAGGGCACAGGGGGCATGCCCTGCATTCCCATGGGACCAAACGGCATCTGGGGATTGAAGGGCATCTGAGCAGCGTTTGTCGCTCCCTCTGGTACCGAAGCATCAACATTCGGCGCATCAATTTGTCCATCACCAGCCTTCTGCTTCTTGGCCATATTTCCGGGGCTCGACCTTCCCGTGTCATGTTGGGCTTCATCCTCGGCTGGTCTCTTCTTCGATTGGGTCGCTGCACTCTCAGAGGCTTGGGTGGGCTGTGGCTCTTTGGATACTGGGGATCCTTGGGGCGCGACTTCAGAGGCTTCGTTGGCAAACAAGCCGTCCTGGCCAGCAGGCTGCTTTTCCTTCTCTTTCTTTGCATCGGCCTTCTCAGCTTCGTACGCCTTGATGTTGGAGACGGCCTCGTCATCCGGGGTGAGATTATCGAGGAGGACACCCTCCGTTCCACAACCCGGGCAAACAAAGTCACTTTCAATCAAGGCATTTGTGATACAATCATTGCAATAGGTCCTCTGGCAGCATGGTGTTTTTGTCGGCTCTAATAACATCCTCTTGTCAATGGGACACTCCAGACCTCGCGCCTGCAGTGCCTTGCTTTCCTCCGCTGCAGCTGCCTCCGCTGCCGCCGCCGCAGATGCCTTGGCCTTTTCCTGGTACAGTTCCCAAGCGGCCTTGTCCGGTCTTGCAACCACAAAATCCCCATCGGCATTGACCATGACCCCCGTGTTCCTCGAGTCATCAGTGGAGCCATCAGGAGCCAATGATTCTGGTTTCTCGACTTTGGTTTGAAGTGAACGCGGGATACCTGTGGAACGCTTGACTCGGTATTTGCCGTCGAACTTTGGGTCGTTGTTGGTCGGGCATGCTTGTATCCAATGACCTGATTGATTCCCGCGGTTAGTGACCTGCTGTTTTTCAATAAGATTCAACGTACCTTTTTCTCTGCACCGGTAGCACAGATACCCCGGAGGTGGAGGGTGATCTGGGATGTTGACTGGTTTGCCTCTGCCACGCCCAAACGGCACGGGAGTCGCACTAGGATTCAATGTTAGTATCTAACGAGGTTTGACAAAATGAGAGAGGTGCTCATACTTGGCCATTTCCTGTTGCTGCTCTTTCCATTGACTGGCCTGCAGGTTGAAAAGGGCATTGATCTTCTCTTCTTCCGTCTGTGCATTGTTGAGCTCGAGCACGTTGTTGCTGATACCACCACCCGAGGCCGATCGTCCAACGGTGGACGGTTCATTGCGGGCATTGCGAGCATTAACAGGCATCTTGCCCGAAACATAACGAGCGGCGCCACCCTTGCCGGGACGCGCGGCAGGCAGCCGGCGGGCGATCACGGACGTCGACCGAGGGATAATGGTAGTGTCATCGTCGTACTCTAGAAGGGAGACAGTGGTCAGTCGTTTTCCAGCCGGAGGAAGAACAGGTAGAGACATACCCTCCCCAGTGTCCTCGTTGTAGATGGACAGCTCAAAGTCAGATCCATCGCCCAATCTACTCTGGCTGATGATCTCTCGTTTGAGCTCGAAGACTGAAATACCAGTGCCATCGAACGTGACTCTTGAGGGTTCCTTTTGGGACTTGAATTTGAAATGAACAGACGATGACATTGTATTCAACTGTGTGTGTGATGGGATGTCCGGAGGGGAATGCAATTAGACCAAGACTTGAGAACACCACAGTGACAGAAATACAAGCGGTAAACAAGGTAGGGAAGACAAGAAAGAGAATGCGAAGGGAAGAAAATGGTTGCTTGCCCGGTATCCAACCGATCAGTCAGACTTGCTCAGGGGCGGGGTTGAGGAAAGACGAAAAAGGGACAAGGGGAATTGATAGCGGTGTCTCTATCGACGCGGATGCTCGAGATCATAGATTGAGAATTATCTTTCTTTCTTTGTTTTCCTCTTGGAGTGTTGAATGGCCGAGTGTTCAAATCACTGCATACAAATGAAGATTAAGGAGTAACGAACACAACTTTCGAAGAGGTGCGACCGTAACAAGGAAGAGAGACCTGTTGCAGTCCGACCGTTGGACGTTTTTGCTTTCAAGAGCCTCCTCACACCCTGACCAGCAACTACACCAGATCGGAGCGACCCTTGCCGAGACTGTACCGACCGACCACGCGGGGAGAGAAAGGGGAGGGGGACGAGAGACAGCAGGAGATCGCGTCGGGATCGTCGAGTTTCTGACGGACAGCAGTCAGTGATGCCGGGGATGCGACAAAAGAGCTGTGGTTAGCGAGCAGGCCTGTTGGGGGTGGGGGAGTGTCAGAGGAAGAAAGAGAGAGGAAGTGGCGGGAAGGAAGAAAGCGGAAGGCTGAGTCAGCTCCCCACCGCCTGCCCTACCGCCTGGTTTTCTATGCAAAATAAACCCTCTATATCGATCTAACTCTATCGATCTAACTACCTATACACTCAACGGTCACTCTCACAGGTCAGCCTCAAACTGACGAACCAGGAACCCATCTGCCTGGAGATGATCCTTCACCTGGCTCACGGTATACTCTCCTCGGTGGAACTGGCACGTGGTCAATAACGGTCGTCCATTTCAAGGCGTTGGGTCGAGGCATCACTTACCATTCCAGCCCCCAGGGCTGCGTCCGTCGTTGTCTTCCGGAACACCTCGGCAAAGTGCCCGGGGTTCCCTGCCCCGCTGGAAGCAATCACGGGGATCTTGATGGCGGCCTTGACATCGTTGATCAATTCTAAGTCGAACCCACTGTTGCTCCCATCCTTGTCAATGCAGTTTAGCAGAATTTCTCCGGCTCCCATGGCCTCAACCGCCCGCACCAGCTGTCGCACGTCCATGTCGCGGGTTTCCCGTCCGCCCTTTACCGTGCACTGGTACCAGCAATAGCTTCGCCCCGCAGCATTGGGGTGCACGGTTTTGATTGTATGGTGGTGGGTGTGCTCGGGTCGGTCCACGTAGACCCGTTTCGGGTCGACACTCACCACCACGGCCTGCTTTCCATAAGCGTTGGAGATTGTCTCAATCGCTGTTTGGCCGCTGAGCTTTTCGCCGGCGCTGTAGTAATCTTCGGCAGCAAAGACCGCATCTGAGCCAATGCTGACCTTGTCAGCACCAGACTTGAAATACATGGTGGCCACGTCCAGAGCGGAAACGTGAGTACCATCCGTGTCCACGGCATCTTTGATTCCTCCACCAATGGTCAAGGGCACGAAGACGGTCTCCGATGTCCTCCGCAGGATTTCCAACATGGGCGTGTCGGCGAGGGGGCAGTTGCGGAAAGAGGTGATGTTCAGGAAAGTGACCTCGTCCGCTCCTTGCTCGTAATACTTCTTGGCCATATCGACGGGCTTTCCCAGATTTCGGACCTGGCCACCAGCGTCCATTCCGCTCTTCTCGCGCACATCGTATTGGTCACCTTTGGTGACGACTAGATCGCCCGAGTCATTCGTTCGTACATCAAGACAGGCAATAACTCTGCGAGTTAGTCCGTCCTCTCCTTTGCCCACAACTGTGCCCTGGGAGAGCAGTTGGGCCTTATCGCTGTTTAAGAATGCACGGATGACACGCAGCCCAGCCTGGCCGCTCTTTTCGGGGTGGAATTGTGTTGCGAAGATATTGTCTCGGGCAATGGCGCCGATGAACTCCTCCTCGCCGTAAGTGGCCGTGGCGACCGACCATCCATCACTCTCGAGAATGCCCGATTCGTAGAGAGCCGCGTAAGAATGGACGTAGTAGTATTTGCTTTTCGGCCGCAATCCATAGAAGCTCCGCTCCGTTGAACCTCCGATGCCGGTGTTCATGGCCGAGTTCCAACCAATGTGTGGCACGCTCTTGGTGCTATCGTTAAACTGCCGCATGCGGGCTGGAATCAAGCCCAGTCCGGGGACGTCGGGATCCTCCTCTGAGCCTTGAAAGAGTGCCTGTAGACCAACGCAAATGCCCATAAAGGGTTTTCCCGCATCGATATGCTGTCGGATTGGTTCCAAATACCCTCCTTTGCTGAGCTGCGAAAGACAATGGCCGAAGTGACCGACGCCGGGGAGGATCAGTTTCTACAAGGGAGGGTTTTAGCAGCAGCGACAAAGAATTCGGAGATGGAGGGGGTTACTCACCTCGGCATTCTTCACGTCATCGGGGGATTTAATCCACTCGACTTCGTAGCCGACTTGATTGATGGCATTGACCAAGGAACGGATGTTCCCGGCCACGTAGTCGAGCAAGTGCACGGTAGGCATGGCGACAGACAGTCAAGCTGGCGAGGACAAAGAAAGAAACGAAAGAGTGAGTGAGCGAGTTGACGGAGGCGACAAGGGCCCCGCCAACGCTGAGTCATTCCGATCTATATGTTCTTTTTTTTTTTTTTTTCCCTGCTGGGCCGGCTACACACGAGTAACTTATTTATTCTAGTGGATGCCCTTCTCTCCAGTATCCTGTAAATAGATGAGTCCGTTGGAGGGCTACCGGTTGTCAAATTAGCAAAGCACCGCACAGAGGTTAGTGGGAGATAGCTACCGGACTGAACTGTCGCAGGCGGACACCGGCAGCCTCGAGAATCGCGGCACTCTGGATCACGGAATTAGCGGATGGAAGGAATCTACATATACAAGAGTCTTGGGGCGCGTACATCTCGGTCCATATTGTAACTTTGAGAGTAAACCACCTCGGAGATGCCCACTTGGGCGAGTTTGACGGTGCAGGTCAAACAGGGACATCTAGGGCAGAAAGGTTAGTCAGGCATGGAATACATGGCAGGTGGAACAGCAGGACAGACGTGTCACAATACAGAATGGCTCCCTCCCGAATCCTTTCTCGACCCGCTTCGAGCAGTGCGTTCTCCTCGGCGTGGATGCACAGACAGGTCGAGAGGCCAACGCCGCCTCCATCTCCGCGGTTGCACCTCGGGCCTGCAAGTAATATGATGAGACAAAAGAATAGGGCCAAGGGTCATCGTTTCGTACATCCACCTTCATTGCAGTTCGGGAGGTGTCGGGGAGTCCCATTGTATCCGGTGCTGATCACTCGCCGTTCCCGAACCAGCACACAGCCGACTCGTCTTTTCATGCAGTTGCTCCGCTGGGCCGCTAAAGAGGCCAGCTGCATGAAATATTGATCCCAATTCGGGCGCAGCCGTTGCTCATCGGCGAGCTCGAGCGCCTGGAGGGCGTGGTGCAGTTCCTCGAGGGAGGATGAGGAGTTGAACAGGCGTACCTGGGCTCGATCGGTGAGATAGACCCGGCCGATGTCCCTCTCGTACAGGTGACGGTCGTTCCAGAGCACGAACTTTTCCAGGTCGGGTGGATCCAGCTGTCTTCTCCGACACCGGTCGGTGAAGCGTTTCCATCGCAGACTCACGGGGGCGTCGACACTCACGAGGAGAAAGAAGGGACGTAGAAGGAAGCGGTCGAGGGTGTTGCCATCGGCAATATCGGTGGTGACCCAGCGTTCCTGCCATCGCTTGGTCGCGAACTCGAGCAGGCTGTCGGCGTCTTCGAAGACCAGGTCTGCGGATTGGACATCGCTCCTCTTGCGGATCTGCGAGGCCTGTAGGCGGAGGTCATCGTCGGGCTCGTCGGCGATGCGATGGTGGCGTTTGCAGGAGAGCTCGAGGAGCTGGAAGCCTTCGACCTGAATCAAGTATTCGGCAATGGCATGTTTGCCGGCGCAGATACCGCCACATAAGCCAATGAGCATGGCGCTGGAGGTAGGTAGGTAGAGATGGAGAGAAAACGCGGCCGACGCGTCGGTGGAGATGGGTGGGGGTGATAAGCAGATAACCGAGAGCAGTCCCTACGTAGTATGTAGGTAGCTCAAGAATCGATATAGGGACGATCATAGGGCCTAGTTATCCCGTGGTAGTATATCTCCTGTAGTATATCCTAGGTAAGTCCTAGGTATCTCCTACGGAGGTAAGATCGGGTGATAGGCTACACGCTCAGCTGATCGGCCCTTCTGACATCACCTCTTCTTGTCTTCTCTTCTTCTCTCCTTCTCGCCTTCTCTCCCACCACCACCACTCGCGCGCCCTCCAGAATGCAGTACGCGCCCTTTGCCTCCGATATCGAGCTCCCATTTTACACGGCCCTCGCTTCCCACAAGATCAACCATGACAAGCTAGACGACTCGGCCCGCGCCCTGCGGGGTCTCTATGAGATTCGCTCCGCGGACCCCGCCAATGCTTCATGTCGCATGCAAATCCACGGAAATGCTCTGACCAGCGACGAGTAAGTACCATGTCCTCTGCCCGGTCCCTCGCTGACACTCGGATTATAGCGTTCCCGCGGGCTGCTACCGGGCCGAAGGCATGATCCGAAATGTCAACACCGTCGAGGAGTATCGGAACATGGACAAATCGCAGATGCTACATCAGGCCGGTCAAACGGTAGACACCCTTTCCCCAGATTCTCGGACTGGCCTGCTGACACAGGGATGCAACAGATTTGGGATGCCATCCAAGATGCGACGATTTACTCTTGCCCCTCCCTGCTATCGTCATTTGTGATCCTGTCATTCGCCGATCTCAAAAGCTACAAATTTCACTACTGGTTTGCCTTTCCAGCAATTCATTCAGATCCCCCATGGGTCCCCATCGAATCCACATCCTCTCAGGCGGGCCAGTCGCGCCAAGGCACGGCAACAAACCTCACCACTGGAAAGTACCTATCTTCACAGGAGAGTGCATCCCTAGTAGATGCCGTTCAGACCTGGTGCTATGGAGTCGATGCCCGGCAGCGGGGTTTTTTCCTAGCGCGAAGGCGGAAGAGCTCGGGCTCAGGAACCAGGGCGACACAAGGAGACGCCGCTCCAGCAGATTGCACCTGGGCGATAGCAGCACTGTCGGAGTACGAAAATCATTTCTTTACTGGCGCTAAATTCGAGGACTGCTATGTGTGTTTTGCGGACCCATCGAACTATGAGAATGCCCCCGGGTGGATGCTGCGGAACCTGCTGGTTGTCGTCCAACATCGGTGGAAGTTGGAAAAAGTGCAAATCTTACGGTATCGCGATGTGCAGTCAAAGCGGGACCAGGGCCGCAGCATCGTCCTACAACTCGAATCGCGGTCGGAGCCAGGGACCGAGAATGCAAAGCCCACGCAGAGCACGGTGCCGTTGCCCAAGGTGACGGGCTGGGAGCGCAATCCCGCTGGCAAATTGTCCGGGAGAATCGTTAATCTGACGGAATACATGGATCCAAAAAGGTACGGGCCCAAAATGGAGGCAACCAAACTACAATAGTGATTGCTGAATGTGTCTGTGTCCATCTCCAGGCTGGCTGATCAATCGGTCGATCTAAACCTGAAGCTCATGAAATGGCGAATCAGCCCGACGCTGGATCTAGACAAGATCAAGCATACCAAATGCCTCTTACTAGGGGCTGGCACCCTCGGTAGCTACGTCGCTCGGAATCTGATGGTATGAGAACCTGAAGTCGGCTGTCATCGGGAGCGCTAACAATGGAGTCTCCAGGGCTGGGGTGTAAGAAAAATCACATTTGTGGACAAAGGAACCGTGTCATTTTCCAATCCCGTCCGGCAACCACTCTTCAATTTTGACGACTGCTTGAACGGTGGCGCGCAGAAGGCGCATCGAGCATCCCAGGCCCTGACAGAGATCTACCCCGGTGTAGATACCGCAGGACATGTCCTGTCTGTGCCCATGGCTGGCCATCCGATAGTAGATGAAGGCGAGACGCGCGCCAGTTTCGACACGCTCAAAAGCCTGGTCGATGAGCACGATGCCATCTTCCTGCTCATGGATACCCGAGAGTCACGCTGGTTGCCCACTGTGATGGGCAAAGCAGCCGGGAAGATCGTGATGAATGCGGCATTGGGATTTGATTCATTTGTCGTGATGCGGCATGGCGTCGGCGGAAGTGAGGGTGAGATCGCTGACCTCGGTTGCTATTTTTGCAACGACGTCGTGGCTCCAGTCAATGTGAGGTCTTCCCAAAGATGTTCGTTGAGTGTGTTATTGACGGAGCGCAAAAACAGTCGATTAAGGACCAGACGCTTGATCAGCAGTGTACCGTTACCCGTCCTGGCGTTGCTGCCATAGCATCTGCGTTGCTGGTCGAATTGCTCGTGTCTGTCCTGCAGCATCCCAAAGGGCCTGCGGCACCGGCCAGCTCAACCTCGAAAGACGAAGGCGAGAGTCACCCCCTTGGACTTGTGCCTCATCAAATCCGAGGATTCCTCTCCACATTTGAGAACATGTCGGTCACTGGCAAGAGTTACAGCAGCTGCAGCGCCTGCTCCGACAAGATCATCAATGCATATAAGGAGCACGGCTGGGATTTCGTGACAAAGGCCCTCAACGAACCCGGCTATGTGGAGGAATTAAGCGGGCTTAAGGAGGTATATAACCTCAATTCCTGATCATCTCCCAAACACTGACAGATGTCATAAGGTTCATGAGAAAGCGGAAGCCGCGCTAGCCGACGTGGAGTGGGACGAAGAGTCTGAAAATGAGGGTGTTGAAGTTCTGTAGGCAGCATTGTGTCGATTCCCAGTCTTGCGTGATGGTGCTGTCGGTCTTTGGGTGTGTTTGCTGATGGTTTCTGATGGTGTGCCTGTCGTGTTTTGTTGCTTTTAGGATTTTCGCTCCAGGCCCACGAAATACGCCTCCTTTGATTCCTGCTGACCACTTTAGCCCATGATCATCCGCAGGAATAGAGCAAGCAGGGCACATACACTGCGAGAGGACTCGGGCTTGAGCCGATGGACCCTTCGGAACAGTTCTCGCAGCTGCTTCTCCAACTCCTTGTCCTCCGCCCCTTGATAAAACTTGCAGACAAAATGCCCGCCCGTCCTCAGGACATCCGAGCTGAAGCGTAAAGCAGCATGGCAGAGGTCCTTCCACGAATCAGCACATACAGAGTTGCGCGACGGGCAATTGGAAGCTTACCATACTCCCCGCATGATCCCTGAAACTCACGCCGCTGGTATTCATCATCCTATATGGGTTACTTAGACTGCGTTTCCAGAAACCAGAAGTCTGGTGCCAGGGAGCAGACATATCGCTGAGAACCACATCCACCGGTCTTTCCAGGGCGGGAGTCTCTTGTTCTGTATCCCCTTCCGCCTGTCCTGATTCTGCCGTAGCGAAGGCTGAGTATTCTGATCCTCCGGTGTCCTCCAAGCTGTTTCGCGGGCGCGGCCGGCCCCTGGTGGGGCTGCGCAAGAAGTCCCGAATATACTCCTGCACCTCGGGGGAAAGGAAGTTGCCCTGTATTGTTGATACACCTTTGGGAGGTTGCGCCGGGATGATATCAACCCCAAGAACTCGGCCGTGTGGTTGAGTGCGATTCACGGCCACCTGGCCGACCATTCAGCAAATTTTGTTTTTGAGTTTGTTTGTTTGGTTTTTTGTTTTTTTGGCTAGAGGAATATCAAACACACCTGAGACCAAGACCCTGGCGCATAGCCCTGCATAATGTTTTAGTAAGATGGAGACCCGGTAGGCGACGTCTCTCTCATACCAAGTCCACCACTGTCTGCCCTCCTCGGAAGATCCGGTATTTCTCGTCAATCTATTTGCAAAGACAAAGTCAGAACAGACGTGTTGCTATGAAGGATCGACCAGTGGTTGGTACCTGCAGCAGTTTGAATGCAGCGCGACTTTTCAGACCTTGCACTGCGGCCTCTTTCGTAAAGCGATCCTGCTGCTGGCGAGCCTGCCAGCGCTTGGACGAGGAATGTCTAGCCTGAACCAAGTGCCAGAGGCGACATGCATTCCAGCCGGGGGGACGAATTGGAGGCAGCAGCAGCATGGAGGGTCGTCAGGAGAGAGTTGATGGAGTGGTTGAGGAGGAAGAGTTTCTGCCGGCAGAATAGTCGGTTACTTGCTACATGAACTAACTGTATGTGTGCCATGCACGACGTGGGATCCATATTATTATTACGATTCTTCTTCTTATCGTTTCCGGTCTCGCTTCAGTGGTGAAAATCCCACCGGTGCGCCAAATCCAAGGGCTCGAGATGCGCCGGTCGAAGGGGCAGCCGAATTCCCCAGGGCGAGCTTGCGCCCAGGCTTTCGGATCTCGAGCTCTTCCTCCTCCTCGTCATCAAATAGACTCCGATCTCGTTGAGCGCCCAGCTTGCGCTTCTTGGGTTTCACCATCCCGTTTTCCGCCGGCGGATCGGGAAGCTCGTCGTCGAAATCTCGCGTCTGCACCGGACCACCCAGGCAGCTGGCCGGTCTCTTTGTTTCCTTGCGAGATGCGTTCAGGACAGACTTGCCTTGGCCGGCCTCGGATCTTTGCCCCAGATTCTTAGTGGAGGTAACGGGGGCTGCGGTGCGCTTTTTATCCGGGCTGCTCGCATGATATTTGACAATTGATATCTGCGATTCATCTGCAGACAGATGGATCTCGTCCGCCTCGGCTACAGAACTGTTTGGGGACTCTGACGGTGCCCCGGTGCGGTTGAGAAATGGAGTAATGGAAAATGCGGATTTCTCGCCCGGCAACACCGGGGGTCTCTTCACTTTTTCTTGTACTCGAACCGCTCCGGGGGTGGCAATGGTCATAGCAGCAGGGTAATCTGGGGCAGCCCGCTGGAGGGGCACCATCCGAGATCGCGAATCCGATGCTTCCTCCGCCTCCATTATCATGCTGCGCCGGTGCTGCAAGTCTTCCTGGGCCTCTTGTAACTTAGTCTTAGTCGACCGCAATTGTTTCTTCAGGCTCTCGATCTTCCCTTCTAGTACTGCTCGTTGACTCTCCCACCCTTGCTGGCGGCTATCTCTATCCTGTTGCTGTTGAGCCCGCGCTTCGAGTGCCAGCTCGCTGCGCAATTCCTCGACGCGTGCGGTGACCTTCGCAAGCTCCTGTGCTTGCTGGGATGCCTTGGTCTGCGTACGCCCGTGAGCATGTCTTTCTTTTTCGAGTTCGACTTCGAGTGAATTGAACTGTCGCTCCAGTTCGCGTTTTTCCGCAACGAGGGCTTGATAGGATGAGTTCTGCGCCTGCAGCCGTTCGATTTCGGTCCGAAGCGCGGCGGTCTCTCGTAACAGACGCTGCTTCTCTGAGAGTGCTGTATTGTAGCCAGTCGAATTGTGGCTGAGGTTTGAGATCTCTCTCTGTTGGAGATTAGAAATGTGACGTTGCACTGGGTGAGCCACTTACCTGAAGCCTTTCTATCTCCGCAGACGAGGCTTGCACATGATGCTCGAGTCGGTCGATTTCCATACACGCTTCACCGAGCTGCAGACAGGTGTCGGACTCTGCCTTGGCCAGTCGGAGGGCCTGTTCATTGGCCTGGTCCAACTGCGAGCGCAGGGCGTCCCGCTCGAACTGAAGCAACAAATGCTCCATGCGCCGCACCCGATCTCGCTCGGCATCCAGCAGACGCGCCGATGCTGCAGCCGCCTTTTCGTAGTCTCTTTCCAGCCCGGCAGTCTGGAGGGCCATCTGGGGTAGCCGGTCAATGATGGACATGGTTGCGTGGTTGTTGTTCCCTCATTGGTTCGTTCTCGCGTCGCGTTCAAATATACAACAACCCGGGGTGGTTACATAAGCTATGCTACGTAATCCGGACTGGACACCTGGCACGGATCACTCATTCATTCAGTTCCTTCCATCACTACTTCCTTCTTCCCTCCTTCTCTCAATTGACCCCCTCCCCAGCTGTCACCATGAAGCTCTGGACAGCGTGGCTCCTTCTTCTCTCCATCGTGTCTGTGGTCGCACAGTCCTCCTCCGATGCCAAGTTGGAGAAATTCCAGGCCCTGTCTCGCTCCGGCCCCGTCGAGTTGGACGCCGCCGCCTTCGACGAATTGACATCCAAGCCTCGCGATTACTATGCCGCCGTTATTTTGACCGCGCGGGATGCCCGCTATGGCTGTCTCATGTGCCGTGAATTCCAGCCCGAATGGGAGTTAATCTCCCGTAGCTGGAATCGAGGCACCAAGCTCGATGGTCTGAATATGGTCTTCGGGACCCTGGATTTCGATCAGGGTAGGATGGTTTTCCAGAAGGTGCGCACGGAGACCTGGTCCCTCCCCTGTTCTCTCACTAATGAGAGCAGCTCATGCTTCAATCGGCGCCCGTCCTCCTCTTGTTTCCTCCCACCAGCGGTCCATTCGCCAAGGTTGAAGAGGGGCCCCTCCGATTCGACTTCACTGGGTACGTTTGTCTCCTGAAACGGTAGACTTGAAGTCATCCCGCTCATACATTTCCTTTCTTTTCCACAGTCCTCTCTCCGCCGACCAGTTGTACTCGTGGATCAACCGTCACCTCCCAGAAGGGCCCAAACCCCCATTGGTTCGGCCCGTCAATTATATGCGAATTGTCTCCGCCATCACCATCCTAATGGGAGTAGTTACTCTGTTCACAGTGCTGTCACCATACGTGCTACCAGTGGTTCAGAACCGAAACCTCTGGGCGGCTGTCAGTTTGATCGCTATTCTGCTGTTCACCAGCGGCCAGATGTTCAATCATATCCGGAAAGTGCCTTATGTGGCAGGCGATGGCCGAGGCGGCATCAGCTATTTTGCCGGTGGATTTCAGAACCAGTTCGGCATGGAAACCCAGATCGTGGCTGCGATGTGTAAGTGGATTTTCTCTCTTGTCAATTGGTCGCGCTGCTGACAACGAATGTCGACATAGACGCCGTTCTGTCCTTTGCCACCATTGCGCTGGCCGTGAAGGTGCCGCAGATGGAAGATGTCAAGGGGCAACAGTTGGCCGTGTTGATCTGGGGAGGCGTGCTTTTTGGGATGTATAGCTTCCTACTCAGCGTGTTCAAGGCCAAGAACGGAGGCTACCCGTTCTTCCTGCCTCCGTTCTAGGCTCCACTGACATGGTTGCTGGGCCGCTCTGCTTGGCTCGATAAACCCTTCGACCGGAGGGAGCCGTGAAGAGACCACAATGCATACATGGAAGTCCATTGATTTGCCGTATAGAGAGAGAGATCTATATATTCCCGTAGCGAGTAGAGTAAACGGTCTGTGAATCTAGATCCCCAGGTCTATACATACTACATGTGTAGACAGGACATACTTCCGGGCCCACACCCACATCTGTCCTTTTCTGCCCCTCCCTCGCCCTCGGCAGACCTCCGTCGCTGAACCAACCCAATACATAGAACCAACACCTCCCAGGCCATGTCCGGCCCAAGTGAAGTGGGCCAGGTCCTGGCGTCATCCGCCACCGGCACTACCTTTTTGGTGTTGATTCAACTTGCGTCGAGGATCTTCACCTTCGCCTCCAACCAGGTGATCTTGCGAACCCTACCGCCAGCCGTACTGGGCATCGCAGCTCAATTGGAGCTCTACCAGCTGTCAATTCTGTATTTTTCGCGGGAAAGCATCCGCTTGGCCATCCAAAGACAGCCCCTGGCTGAGTGGTCGCCATCCAGCCAGCCGGTCTCTGCTCAATCTCAACGTGTCAACAGAGCAGCTACGCCATCCGCCAAACAGTCGGATGCCTCCCAGTCCGTGGTGAACGTGTCTTACTTGAGCATCGCTCTCGGAATACCGTCATGTCTCGCATTTACGATGCTCTATCGGCATTTTGGGTCCATGGAGGTCTCCCAGACACCCTTCTTCTATCCTAGTGTGCTCATTACCGGGGTTGCATCGTTCATGGAACTGGGAGTAGAGCCATTCTTCGCTGTGGTGCAGCAGCGCATGCTGTATGAGAAAAGAGCCGCCGTCGAAATGCCAGCAGCGTTCATCAAGAGTCTCGTCATCTGCTCGGCTTTTATCTATGCTGGGTATGTCAATTGTGATGTCGGGGTCTTACCCTTTGCTCTTGGCTATTTGGTTTATTCAGTGGCCCTGATCTGTGGCTATTCTCTGGCCATGTTCAAGGAAGCACACGAAGACCAGTTTTCATTTCTTCTCACGTGTGTAAAATCCGGGTATGTGGAAGGTGGATATACTGTGTACGCTCAAGACGTGGGGAGGACCATGCTGACTATACATAGAGATCCATCGAAGTATTACCTGCGTCGGTTTTCTCGCCAGCTCACATCGCTAGCCGCCAGCGTATTCTTCCAGTCGCTTGTCAAACACCTCCTGACGCAGGGTGATTCGATAATGCTTGCAGCCATGTCTAATCTGGAGGACCAAGGCATATATGCGCTTGCGTCCAACTATGGCGGTCTCATTGCCCGGATTATATTCCAACCACTGGAGGAGAGCAGCCGAAACCTGTTCTCGACACTCCTCACCACCGATGACACTGGAACCCGAAGAGTGACCCACATCCGTGCTGCCAAAGCTCACCTGTTAGACATTCTCTACGTGTATCAGCTGTTGTCGGTCGTCCTCTTTCCTCTAGGTCCAGTGATGGTCCCACAGTTGCTCCGCTTCGTAGGAGGACGTCAATGGATGTCATCCAAGGTCGGGGATTTGCTTTCCCTTTTCTGTTACTATATCCCCTTCCTGGCATTCAACGGAATCACAGAAGCATTCGTGTCCTCGGCTGCCAACCCCCGGGAGATTCGGAAACAAACAGCGTGGATGGGCGCCTTTTCTGCCTGTTATGCCGTGGCGGCCTACATTTTCCTAGAGGTGGGCGACCTGGGAGCGTATGGCCTGGTACTGGCCAACATTGTGAACATGGCGGTCCGGACACTGTGGAGTTACCTCTTCATCAAGTTATACCTCAGACGAAATGGCGACGGCCTGAGTCTCAAGGAAGCTAGCATTCGGCCTGGCTCTTACATCGTCGCGGTCACGGCGGTGGCCATATCCGCCCAGCAGAGACTATCGAGATCGGGAGGCGGATTCTTCCAGGCAACTGCATTTAGTAGTATATATGCACTTCTAGTGTAAGTCAAGTCTATCCGACCGTTTCTTTGGCTAGTACCTGACCATATAGCAGAATCTACATAGAAAGGCGATATGTGATGAGGCAGGTGACGAGATTGCGCCAGATCCTGGCGTCGCGAACAAAAGGCAGTAAGAAAGAATAATAGGCTAGCAGAAATCAATCCTCAAAAACAATCTTCGTGGCAGTTTTGTCCGTGTCAACGTCCTTGAAGAATGCACCGTAGGCATCATGTTGCTTCTTCTTAACAGTGGTCCCGAACTTGAGCAAGGCTTCGGGTACCTCTTGCTTGGCGGCCTTGAGGACATTGATCAACCTGTTCGCTCGTCAGTCCTCGATCGAGAGAGAAGGGGAAGTTCCAAAAAAGAGTCACTCACCCGCCAGACAGTGCCTTGTCGGTCTCGGTGAACAATGTGATCGCATGGCCTTCTGCGCCAGCACGCCCGGTTCTTCCAAACAATCAGCACAATGCGTCTACAAAGGTTGTACAAGGAAGACATACCTTCCAATCCGATGCACATAGTCCTCGACCGTGAGAGGGAAAGTCACATTGACCACCAACTTCACGGCGGGAATGTCAAGACCGCGCGCCGCTACATCGGTTGCGACGAGCACGGTGGCAGCCCCGGTTTTAAATGCATCCAGGTTTCGAAACCGCTCCCCTTGGCTCAGATCCCCGTGGATCCCTGCGACCTTAAACCCCTTGGCTTTGACGAGGCGCTCCACTCTCATGGCCTCTTTCTTGTACAGACAGAAGACCAGCACCTTCTCAGGAGAGTTGCTACCTCTCTGAAACCGATTCAGGATTTGAATCAGCCGAGTCTCCTTATCATGATGATTGACGACTTCGACCTCCTGCTTGATCCTCGTATTCGCGCGGGGGTCCGCGGAAGGATCTCCGCCGATGGTAACGGTCACTGGCGAGGACATGAAGCCTGCCGCGAGGTCCCGAACTGACCGAGGCCAGGTGGCTGTAAACATGACAGTCTGTCTCCTCGAGACAGGCATGGGCTGGATGATATCCTTGATGTCCTGCTCGAACCCTTTATCAAGCATGCGATCTGCCTCGTCCAGAACAAGGTATTTGACCTTCCCAAGACTAAGAGAGCCATCGTTCTGAAGGTCCTTTAACCGTCCAGGAGTGGCGACTACGATGGCCGCTGATTTGAGAGCTTCGCGCTGTTCATCCTTCTTCACGCCGCCGTATATACACGCCACGCCAGCTTGGGCGGACTCGGTAAACTTTACAAGCTGGTCATAAATTTGCATGGCAAGCTCACGAGTAGGAGATATGATCACCGCGGTCGGCTGGCAGGGTTTTTGGCTTCGTTTCGAGTCCGAGATTTTCTTGAGACACGGCAAACCGAATGCCAGGGTCTTGCCGCTGCCAGTCTCGGCGATACCGATCACATCACGACCGGCAAAGAGTAGGGGCCAGGTGGTAGACTGAATGGGCGTTGGCGACTTGAACGACTTCAATGGGTTGTATAGATCGCCGTCGCAGGCGGGCAGGTATTCGAACGAAGTGATTGGGCGAAGGTTAGGGGCCTCGCGCAATGGATCGGTCACTTTGATCGTATGGTCCGCATGGAACTGGTCAATCTCGGACTGTGCAATCGCACTGAGCGCCGACGTTTGTTCGTAGGATGCAGGAACCACAT